CTCTAGTCTAAGTGTCCCGAATGATAGTGCCTTTGACGAATGCATAACAGTGAGAGGTCACCTGCCCATTGTATCCGGGAGGAGACGCCCTGATCCGTGTGAGTTTCGCGGGAGAAAAACATCTCCACTGTCTCCTGGAAAACATCCATGATCCGTGAGTAGTTCGGGGTGGACTCCCATGATCCGTGAGTAGTTCGGGGTGGGGGAAATTTTTCAGTTACAGCCTTGCCGATGTTTGGTCGGAAGGTTGTTGTATGTACATAGGAGGTTTGCGATAGGGCCGGGTAGGGGGTTTAGGCTATGAATTCTATGCATACGGATACTGTTACCGTTTACCGTGATACTGCTTTTAAAATAATTATACGGGATAACTGTGCGATAATGGTGAGCTAGTTGGTTGCTCACCCCCATTATTTTTCTTGTTGTCTTCTCTCTTCCTTTGATTTAGGTTGAGACGAGCTGGAGGCGGTGGCGTAGGACAAGCGAGATGGTGGTCAATATGTGATGATATCTTATGCTTCCGCACAAACTTGCTATTTATTTATTTGCTATCATACTTTGGATTACTTATTTCTTTGCTTTTCGAACTAAGTTTAAGTCTGTTGAACTTTGAACATGCTAGACCTTTGAAATGATTTTGAGACGTATGTTTTATGAGATTGTTTATTTTGATAGCTCGAGCATGTGTGGGTTCTTTGAATTGTTGGATGTGTTTTGTTTGCTGTTATTAGTGAGTAGCGCCCGTTTCTTGTTAAATGTTTTAATTTGGATTTTTTTTTAAAAAAAAAAAACTCTGATTTTTATTAAATAAATTTTTCTAAAATAAAACGGGGTGTTACACTTAATATAGCTCGTGCTTTGCGTTTCCAGGCTCATTTGCCTCTTCCTTTTTGGGGTCATTGTGCGTTGACTGCGGTCTATCTGATAAATCGGACTCCTTCCTCGCATGGTAAAACCCCATATGAGATTCTTTATGGTTCGGCTCCTTACTTGTCTCATTTGCGGGTTTTTGGTTGCCTTTGCTATGCTCATAACCAAGATCGTAATAGCGATAAGTTTGCTGCTCGTAGTCGTCGTTGCCTATTTATTTGTTACCTTTTTGGAAAAAAAGGGTGGAGTTTATATGATTTGGATCGTCAGATTTTCTTTGTCTCTCGTGATGTGGAGTTTCTTGAGACTAAATTCTCATATCAATCAGACTCGTCTCAGCCAGATTCTTTGTCACCGCCTCTTGTTGTGTCGGTTCCTTCTGCGCCGGAAGAGGATGAGGATCTACCGGTTGTCTCTTTGCCTCATGTTTCTTCTGATACTGGGTCTTCTGCTACTGATTTGGACATCTAACGACCGGGGGGTTTCTGTTACCACTACTCCTCCCACTCTTTCGGTGGAGCCCTTGGGTCGTGGTCATCGAACTAAGGTTCCTTCCACTAGGCTAAAGGATTTTGTGGTTGACACTGTCCGACCCTCGACTGTAACTCCCACTGCTTCTCCCCAGTAGTCTCCCTCCACCAGTACGCCTTATCCCATAGCACATTATGTTTCTTGTGATTCATTCTCTCCAGCTCATCGAGCCATTTTGGTTGTTGTCGCCTCTGCTGCTGAGCCTCGCACTTTTGCTGATGTTGTGACCGATCCTCGATGGCGAGCCGCTATGCAGGATGAGATTCGTGCCTTGGAGAATAATGACACATGGGATGTAGTTTCTCTTCCATCTGAAAAGCGCGCGAATAGATGTAAGTGGGTCTTTAAGATCAAGCATAAGTCCGATGGTACCGTTGAGCGCTATGAAAAGCGTTTGGTGATTTTGGGCAATAATCAGGTGGAAGGTCTTGACTATCATGAGACATTTTCTCCCGTCGCCAAGATGGTTACAGTCCGGTTATTCTTGGTTGTGGCTGCTGCTAAGAATTGGGAAGTTCACCAGATGGATGTTCACAATGTTTTTCTTCATGGTGATTTAGCTGAGGAGTTTTACATGAAGTTTTCCCCTGGTTTTCGCTCTGGAGTTGGTGGGCAAGTTTGCCGTCTTCGTCGTTCCCTCTATGGCTTGAAGCAGGCTCCCCGCTGCTGGTTTGCCAAGTTGTCTACGGCTTTGAAGCAGTATGGTTTTTGTCAGTCCTATCATGACTACTCTCTTTTTGCACTGCATCGTGGTTCTGTCCATCTACAGGTCCTAGTCTATGTTGATGATCTGATTGTTTCCGGGAATGATACCACATCCATTGCGGCCTTCAAGAGTTACTTAAGTTGTTGTTTTCACATGAAGGATCTTGAGTTTCTTAAGTATTTTTTGGGTATCGAGGTTGCCCGGAATTCTTCTGGCTTCTTTCTCTGTCAGCGGAAGTATGCTCTTGACATCATAGCTGAGGTCGGACTACCAGGGAGCAAGCCAGCTGATTTTCTATTAGAGCAGAATCATCAGCTCCCTCTTGCTGAGGGTGATCTATTGTCCGATCCCGAGCGATATCGTCGTTTAGTCAGACGTCTTATCTATCTGGCAGTGACTCGACCTGAGCTGTCTTACTCGGTGCATATGCTCTCTAAATTTATGCATCAACCTGGTCAGGCTCACTGGGACTCTACTCTGCGTGTGGTTCGATATTTAAAAGGCTCTCCTGGTCAGAGGATTCATCTTCGTACTGACTGCGATCTTCAACTCTATGCATGGTGCGATTCGGATTGGGCGTGATGCCCTCTCACTCGACGGTCTCTTTCTGGTTGGTTTATTCAGCTGGGTCAGTCTCCTATTTCTTGGCGAACCAAGAAACAACCTACTGTGGCACGCTCTTCTGCTGAGACTGAATATCGGGCGATGGCTACTATTTTATGCGAGTTGAAGTGGTTACGGGGATTGTTATTTACTCTTGGTGTCGCTCACTCTCAGCCTATGCGGTTACACTGTGACAGTCAATCTGCACTGCATATTGTCGCGAATCCGATTTTTCACGAGCGTACTAAGCATATTAAGGTAGACTGCCACTTTGTTCGAGATGCTGTTTTTTAAGGTCTCATTTCTACGACTCATGTTCCTTCTGGAGAACAGCTCGCTGACATCTACATCAAGGCACTTGGGAAGCGTGAATTTGATTTCTTTCTTGGCAAATTGGGTATTCGGAATCCGCATGCTCCAACCTGAGGGGGGTGTTAATGTGTATATTTGTGTATTTACTGTATTAGCCTTAAGTTATTTTTTGGTAACTCTAGCCCTAATTATGTGTATATATACTTGGTTAATAGAGATAGATGGATCATCCGATTGAGATGATATTTTCCGAATTCATCACATCTCTTTCATATCATATTTCATGCGCAATTTTGTCTTAAGGAGGACGTAACTATTGCGTGCCTCGATTTTAATTCTTGTTTTTATTTTATTCATTATTCTTAATCTATCTCTTTGTATTCACATACCACAAAAATTACATAAGTGTCTAATATTACATTTTATTGAATTTTTCCTAAATTATATATTTTTATAGTTTATTAATAAGAGTCCTTTTAGAATTAACCAAGAGAATGAGAGACCAGTAACTTGGGTATTATCTAAATTTTAATATTACTTTTTTCTGAACTCTTTGTAAATCGTATATTTATAAAGAATTAAGCAAGGAGTCCGTACAAAAATTCTATGGAGCCATCGAATGGTTTTCTTATGGAGCCATCCACAACTTAATGTATTGACACCTGTCCAAAGTGTATTTATTGCAGGACACGTGTCAATACACTATTGGTGAATAAGTGTGGATGACTCCATAAGTCGAGCCATCCGATGGCTCCATAGCAAAATTGGGGGTCCGTATACCAAAATTAGAATAACTTCTTGTAAATTGTTAAAAGTTTAGTAAAGCGACATTTTCATATTAATTGAACTTACCACCACCATTCTGTTAAATGAACTGAGAGTGAAAAGCCAATATTTGAAGCTTTACAGTAGACATAATTAGACCATCACATAACAAACCCTAGACGTAGTGGAGTACATCAGGATTTATAACAAGCCAAAAGGCCCGCAACATTGCACTTGGCCTTGCCCTGACAAACAAGAGATATTTTTCTTTTCCCTTTTTAAAGAAAAGATACCCCTCCCGCCCTCCGGCCCCACCCTACTGGAGCTAAGTTTTGGTCCATTGTTTCTCATAATGCAACAAATTATGGATTGGATTTTTTCTCTCCCCACTTGGACTCTTGAAAATTTTAAGAAAATAAAATAAAAAAAAAAAAACAGCACACAAACTTAAGGACAAAGGTTTTCGCAATGTGGTCATTATTATAACACACATGATATGTAACATCACCGGACCACCTACGCCCCCCACCCCACACCCCAAACAATTTAAAACACTGTTTTTAATACTCAGCAAGTCGGAAGCAAATCACGGTGTGTGGTTTCAAGAGGTTAATTGATTTCATCATTTATTTTATTAAATTTATTATTACATCATAAATTTATTTATATAACATATGTAGTTAATATTAAGACTAAGTAAAAATTAAACAAGAGCATAGACTTAGTAATAACTCTATATTTATAAAAAAAATTCTTGAAATAAAATATAAAATTATTAAAATAAAAATAAAACAAGCTATTTAGTATTTATTAATTGTTTGTCGGTATTTTTGATTAGATGATATAGGATACTCTCTCCTATTTTTAATAAGTGTAGTTTTTAAGAAGTTATAATTTTTTTTTGCCAATAATAATCTTCATTAATGAGGATAGAGATGAATGTTTTCAGAAAAGGTAAAGAGTGAATATAAAAAGACCCAACTAGATGAAGTAATAATAGAAAAATATATACAAAAGATTCAAAATATTATTTATTTGGTTAATCGTTGATAAAGTCAAAATGATATTAAAAAAAAAGAGGTAGTATTTTCACAAAAATGATATTTTAGAACATCATTTTCTTTCATTTGGGCCCAATCCCAAGTTGCCCCCCATCGCCACCCCCTGTCTCCTCTAATCTAAGCACACACATAAAACACGCACTATTATTATATTATAATCCTTCACCTCTTCTCAAAAACATTAAACTCACCCCACTGTCCACCTCCTTGTGCCAAGAAAATGCCCCCAGGCCCCATAGCTCTGTACTGTGAGTACTCATCACTTTTATTAATTTCGGTTCTTTCGGTATTGTTTTAGTTAACTGTGTATTTTCTTTGATGAACAGAAATCCCATTTTTCATTGAGTGTGTCACAAGATCAGATTTTTCTTCTTTTTATCACTCTCAACCACTTATCTCAAGGCTATTATATCTTCCATGTTTGGCCAAACCCTAGATCTGTCTCCATGTGAGTGAATGAACACTGCTCCCCTGTTCTTTTTCTTGCTCAGAAACTGCAAAGTGTGTCTCTGTGTTTGGTTTATTTTTGTGCCTTTTTCTTCCTTTTCGTTATTTTTTCTACAAGCCCGTCACTTAGTATAGCTGTGTAACCTGCCCAGTTGTTTTTTCACCCCCTTTTCTCATTGTTTGTTTCTTCAGGAGCTGGGGAATGAGTTAAAACTAGCTTACTGAGCCCTCACTTTAAAAAGAAAACTGATAATTCCTCAGGCACCGACAAAGTAGTTTGTTTGCATGTGTGTGCATATCATCTGTTGCTTATATCTCTACTGACTTCAATAATGTTGATTACAAGTGCAGATTGCCTGGGAAGTGAAAGGCGGATTACATAATACCGAAATCAATTCCGGGTTTTCGATTGAAAAGGGGATATAAACAATTAACGAGAGGAGTTTGAAAAAAAAAAAAACAATTAGATAAATAAATAAAGATGAGGGGCACAGCATCCACATCTGTGACGGTGGGGCTGGGGATAGGAGAAGGATGTGATGACGTGGCATATGGCGGTTTTAGGTACTACCCGTTTACAGCTATCCAACGTCAAGAGCTCGAGCATCAAGCCATGATATACAAGTATCTGTTGGCTGGTCTGCCCGTGCCACCTGACCTCATCATGCCAATACGCCATAGTTTCGAGGCGCTCTCCGCCCGACTTTTCCACCACCCTTCACGTAAATCTCTCGCTTGTTTTTATTCTCTCCGACCTTCTTTTGTTTCCATATATGTGTTTGGGTTATAGTATGAATGTCTGGATATTGAAGTGATTGAGAGTAGGTGTGTAATGAATATGACCGTACTATGAAAGTGTCTTATGTTTGATACGTCTCTGTATGGTTGTTGGTCATTCTGGGTGTTAATGGTCAAAATGGTAGATATTTAATAAATGTTTTCATAAGAAAGTGACTGTGGACTCCAACTGTTTTCTTGTTAGTCATGAGATAGTAGACGATATTATTAATGCTTTATTATTGATTCTTTATGTGCACTGAGATACCGAGCTTCATGCTTGCTTGCTCCTTGCAAAATTCTTGAGATTGTTCTAAAACATTCTTGTTTTGATGAGAAAAAGTTGGTCGTGATTAATACTAATTGAAGATTCTATCCTCCTTGAGAATGATTGGCATGCTTTGATAAAAACTAGACGAAACATATATTGATTGTCTCATGTCAATATATATATATATGGCAGGCGATTGAGTTTAAACTGTTGGTCTTGACTTCAGGACCATCTGCAAACACTAAAAGAATGCGCACACACANAAAAAAAAAAAAAATGGAAAACCATGTCTTTGCTTCCAACATATGTTAGTGCACCTTTACTCATTGAAGCTAAGAGTTGTCTTCTTTTGGTGTTTGAAAACATTCTCTTGTTTTGAAATACAATTTCACTAACCGTGACCTGAAACAATGGCAAAGAAAATGAAACTGGGTGCTATTATTCTCCGTGCAGTGGGCTATTGCTCCTACTATGGGAAGAAATTTGACCCAGAGCCCGGAAGGTGCCGGAGGACTGACGGAAAGAAGTGGAGATGCTCGAAGGATGCGCATCCCGACTCCAAGTATTGCGAGCGGCATATGCACCGTGGCCGCAACCGTTCAAGAAAGCCTGTGGAATCACAAAACAACTCATCTCAGTCCATCCCCACTGCACTGCCACACGTGTCTGGAGGCAGCAACATCACTGGAAACTTCCAGAACATTCCCTTGTATTCAGCCATGGGCACCCAGAGTTCTCCCTATGGAAGCAGCGTGGCGAAGCTGCAGATGGAGCCCGTCTCGTATGGGATGGATCACAAGGAATTCAGGTACTTTTTGCTAGAGATTGTTTGGTTTTCTTGTACGTGGATTGCTATTTGTTTCTTTTGATGCCCCTCTGAACTTTGATATTGCATAAATAGTAGGAAAGAGACAAAACCATGTACAGTACTTTCACTTGTTTGCAGGTCTCTTTGGTAACAGGTGGATGCTTTTTGTTCGAAAAATAGGGTGTCGTATTTAAATGTTCCAAGTGTTTACGAATCTAGAATCAGAGTCAGTAGAAAACTTTAGAATCTGATTTATTTTTATGTCCCATGATATTTTAAGGATGTGACTTGTTTTACTTTTAACCCCTCTGTCTCTTCTTTATATAAGTTTGAGAGTTGGGAACATAAGTTTTAGTGTATGACTCTTTTCGTTGAAAAAGTTAGAAATCGTGAATTTGGGATTGGTTGAAAAAAGATAGCATGGGAAATGATGGGAGTGCCCCTTTATTTTATCATGATTGTGACTGATTTGACTTCGTTTTATTCCAATAAGAAACCTGGCAGACTGAAATTACAATAAGAAAAACTAAGAGGAAAGCAACTTTATTCCTTGTGATTGTGACTGGCATGATTTCTTCTTGTTCTTGTTTTTCCTCCTTTTTTTGTATTTTTCTATTTTTATTATTTTGCCCTATTGAGTAACCTGGGAAGATTGAAATTACTACAACAAATTAGGAATGCCTTTTTCAGCTGCTGAGTTTCTATGAAGTAGGAGTGGTAAAAAACATATGAGACATATTCTATTTCAGTTGTACGATCCTCGTCTTTCATGAACTTCATTTATATGGAAATTAAGTTTTCAGATTCTTTTTCCTTGTGTGTGAGTGTGTGTGTTTCCTGAATTTCATGAAACACAAATGCTCAACTAGAATTGTCTGTCTAATTGCGGCCTTATGTTCAACCATCTGTTGCTCTTAGTTTAAAAGTAGGGTTGAACTTGCTCTGTTAACTTTGATTCCCAGTTTTCTGCGATATGCATGTCTATGAACTAAGTTTTCTCAGTTCTCAACCTCTGGTCTTGTAAACCAGGGTGAGCGGGTGAGGTAAGTGGAAAAAGTGGGGAAAAAAAGTCTTTTTAATGGAACTATTGAAGAGATAGTTAAATTGATGGAAGGATTTTGTTTTTTTTTGTTTTTTTTTCTTGTGATGATATTGTAGGGCTACCTCATGCAAGCTGCAAGCAAACTCTGAAATCAAGTTTGTGTCCAATAAATTTCCTTCAAACAGATTTTGTATGGCATAATAATATGAACTCTAGTGAAAGAGTCATGTGCAAACAATTTGTCTTCTGCTTACAGGCAGATCGACAATTCACATTTTAGAACATCTCACTACTAATAATATATGAAATTTAATGGCATTCTATACAATGATTGGTCATTGACAAGTAAACTTTTGGCATCACTTTCAAATTCAAAGTCACGCTCATTATATGTAACCATATTCCGTGTCAACTGCCTTGCTGAGACATTTGGCGAGCATATTAAGGGCCCAGTTAAGAGATTGTGAAGCTAGTATGAGTAGATATATAATGAGTGTATAAGAACAAGATTGATGAATGTTATTAGGTGCATCTATTCCGAGGTAAACTGCAGCGTGCAAGTTTCTCATTTCTATTCATAAACTAAAATTTCCCCGAATGAACTTATTTAGACCAAGGAAGTTGTGTGTGTGTGCTTCTTGTCTCAATATAATTTTCTCATGCATGTGTATCTAGCAGTTCTCGAGAGAAAAGTTTTTCTAACGATGATCTAAACACACTTGCTAACTTGAGTTAAATAAATACACAGGTATAATAATAATAATATTCAGGGACTGACTCCCGATCCTGAAGGTCAAAGTTTCTCATCAGAAGCTTCCGCACTTGGTTTGAACTGCAACTCAGGAGATGCCACGTGGCGGCTCATGCCCACTCAAGTCTCCTCGAGCTCCCTTCTGAAACAGAAACCCGATACTCAGTTCCTGGGCTTGTCCTCAGCCCCACAAAATATGGCCCATGCTTTTGAGCCCATAAGTGACGCCATTTCTAGACAGCAAGATCAACATGCAGTGCATCCTTTCTTTAGCGAGTGGCCAATGAACAAGGAATCATGGTCCACTCTTGATGATGATGATGATGTGTCAAACAAGAATGTTTTCTCCTCCACCCAGCTGTCCATCTCGATCCCGAGGGCATCTTCTGGTTTTACTTTGAGGGGTGGTAACTCCCCTAATGGTGAGTAATAAAAAGGATTCCAGTGGGTAAGTTGAAACTGACTGCTCGAATCTTTCGATTTAGTTTAGAAACTTTTTTATTTTTGTCCATGCTGGGAATCACTTTTTACCAGAACATGCTGTTGTTCATTCGAATTCTTGAAAAAAATGCACTACTCACGTAGTTTCATNAAAAAAAAAAAAAAAAAAGGAAAAGAAAATCAAATTCCCTTGTTCACCTACTTATATTTCCAACCACCGATTGTATTCAAGCAATACTTGAACTATCATTACGTATCAATTATATCGTAACAATTTCATTTCATATCCATTAGAGTAGAAGTTCGAGTTTGTTCTCGCTGTTCTGACAGAGAAAAAAGAAAATGAAAGGATATGCAGTAATATCCTGGAATTAATGTATGGTTGTAGCAAGACTAAGATTCCCTACAATAGCATGAAATTACTAAAGTTTGGATACTATTTGTAAATTTGATGTTTTAACCGTGCAGATAACTGAAGGAAGATGCTTTTAGCAATGAAACCAATCGGTGGCTGCCGTTTGCTAATCGATGTTGTGTCTTGAGGACTGGCATGTCTGTGTGACATTCATGTACTATGATAGTTGTTGACCCGATGTTTGAATTTTCTCTGGAATTATTGTATTTTTCTTTAAGTGAACTATACTGTATTTGAATTGAGTCTCCTGAATAATTGTAATTCTCCAAATTCATTGCATTGAGTAAGTGTTGGATTCTTCTTTATAGGAGTTTGATTCTTCTTTGTAGAAGTTTGATTCTCTTTTGTGGGAGTGTTTAGTTTAGTTTAGTTTGTGGGGTAGTGGGTGAGTTAGTTTGGCTAATTCTAGGATGCACTTACGTGTATACTCCTCTCGCTAGATTCGGCTTGATAGCTGTTTGGCTTATTCTGGCTGATGTCTGGCTGTATCTATGTGTTTTTTTGTTATAAACGTTTCGAAAAAAAAAAAAAAGTAAGTGTCATCTTCTTCCAGTCTTCAAGCTGCATATACATGACTATGAGGTAATGGGCATTTGCTATCTTTTCTTGGCAGTTAGTCTCGTTTCATTAGTCTTCATTGATATGGACTCCTATCTCTCCATTTTGTAATACTAGGAAGGTGCACGTGCTTCGCACGTGAGCCATATAATTTGTCTAATTGAATTTGTATGTCTTAGTTTATTTAACAAAAATATATACATATATATTTATTATGAGAAACAAATTGCTAAGGGCGTGATTATATATGAGTTATAACCGATCTTAATCGGTTATAATCGGTTGAGGTATTTCATATCCAATCATCTTACTCAAAAGAAAACTCAACTTAACTCTCTTACTTTTTATAAATATAAACAATCATTCATATACATTACATTAATTTTTATTTACTATTAATTTACTAACATAATTTTAACTACCTATTATTTTTGATAATCTCTCTTTTACTTTTACATCAAATCAATTATAATCATTATAATTTAAATATTATTTAATTTTAAACTCAAAATCATGCACTCGTTATACTTTAACTCACTTTAACTAATTTTAGTCAAACAAAATTGGTCAAAACTGGTTGGATTCATATCCAATTGTGCATAAGAAGCTCAACATATATTCATTTTGGAAGTTTGAAGACAATCAATTTAATGCTAATTAAACAAAAGTTTCAAGTAAATTGACTAACACATTGTCAAAAAATCACGAAGTTTTAAATTTTAATGAAAATGATGATAATATGGACCTAGTAAAGTTTTTTTTCCCAAAAAAATTATTGTAATACTAATAGAACAATAGGTTATATCTATTAGCATTTATATTTTAATTTTAATTTAAATTTTTTACCTTATCGTCGTTAACATGTTACTTATTAATCATCTAAATCTATATCATATTCAACATTAAATATAAACCATTTGAATTAAGTATATTCACTTTTATTTAAGAGTATAGAATAAGTACTGAACTCAATACAAAATATTTGCATACTATAAAAGTACAATGAATTTTGACGTATTAACATAGGGATAAGTAAAAAAGAATTATGTGGATGAAATTCTTATATTTAATGTATAAATTAAATAATGAAGGTTATTACCGAAAAGGTCATAGTAAAGTATGATTGTCTTGAAAGAGAATATTTATTTGTGTCTTCATTGAGAAACATGATTTAACAGCTGCCCAAGTTGATACCTAAAAATTGAAATTAGAAATGTCATCTCATTCTTACAAAATTATAGATGAATAAGTTTGATTAAATGTGAATGAAAAAAATGTGGGTAGTTCGTTTATTTGTCTCTCTTCAATTTACTTCTCGTGCATTATTTGGTTTGCATCAATTGATACGTGTACCAACCACTACCCTTAATTTTGTTTATTTCATATTAAATTTTGTGAAGTAAATTGCTTAGTATTACACCAATTATTCTATATGGAAGGGATATATTAATGCAAAAAAAAATACAAAATAANTAAATTTGACATACAATTTAATGTTTTCATGATTTTACAATCCATGAATGTAAATGTTATGACTAATTAATTTGGTCAAATACTTGTCTTATATGGATTATTAAATTACAAATATGACATTATACAAAAATTAAAATACATTTTTATATAGAAGCAAATAATTTTGTAATGTATTAGACATGTGTTATAGATCTATGCCCTTTAAATTGTTTTAGTATTTCTAATGTTTCAAGTTTATGATTTATATTTTTATGTACTTAATTTGGTCAATCTACATAAAAAAATTCATAGTTGTATAATTATTATTCAAACACAAGGCATTAGTAATTTACATAATAATTTATGTAAATTTACATAATAATTTATGTATATTTTCTAAATATATTTATATAGATACATATATAAAAAAAATAAGAAAATAGAATAAGTAAAATTATTTTTACTCCAAATAAATCTTAAATATGTGACATGGTGACATACAATAGGACCCTCATAGTGGGTAACACAATGAAAACATAAATAAAAAATGTGTGTGAAGTTATTTTCTTAAATAATTATTTTACATGAAAACCACATATTATTGCATTTTTCCCACATTAGTTTGAAAAAATTATGTTGAAAATTAATATAAATATAAAAAAAATAGATAAACAATTATTCAAACACCAATTACATGGCATTAAAATGAAGAATGACATTAAAATGAAGAACAAATGAGTCGCTTATAAATCATAGGCGTATTATTTGCTCAGAGTAAAAATAAAAAATAACAATATATAATATTATTAATTAAAGTGTAGAAGTAATTAATAACTTATAAAATAATATAAGTTAAATATCAAATTGTTATTATGAAAATAAAATGAAATGTTATTTAATAATATATCATTTTAATTATGGTACTACAAGTTGTGTGTTGTATGGGTGGATAAGCTAGTATTAGTAAAATTTGTGTGTTGTATGTATGTTTGCATACAAGAATTTAAAAAAAAAATAAAAAAAAATCCAATATTTTAACTCAATAACTTTTTTTTTTTTTTAACTCAACCTCACTATTATCAATATTATGAATATAATTAAATAATATCAATCAATCATTTATACACACCACATCAACCTTAATTCACTATTCATCCACTCACATTATTTCAAATAACTATCACTTCAAATCATCTCTCTCCTACTTTTAAACAAAATCAATTTTAATTATTATATTTTAAATATTATTTCAATATACCCACTAACAACTAATCATACCACATTTTTAAAATTAACCAAACCAAACCAAAAAATCCAACAACACCTAAATTTTTTATATCCAAACATGCTCGAGATCGTTTCACAAGTCTTTTGTACTTTAGTAGTTTATTTTCCATCCGTATGTGTTTCGGTTGACACAAAAACAAGTGAACTTTCAAAAAAATAATACAACTTTTATAATATAAATGCTGACAATGATTTCTTTTTAGTTCATAAAATCCATAACATATTATCTTTGGATCTGCCTCTCAGTTTTCTAGTCTTTGGTTGTAATATTCAGCATTTGGCTGTTTTCTTTTCGCACTTTGCGGTTTTTATTAATATAGTACCCCTGTCGTTTCGGAAAAAAAAAAAAAAAAGTTATAAAATTATTAATTATTATTAGCAAATTTCTAGTGCTATTTTTGTAGAGAATTTTTCCACCCAAAGTTCATTGGAGAAAATTAGAAAGTTAAAAAAATATTAAGCCATTAAAAATTACGAAGTAATTAATAACTTATAAAATAATATAAGTTAAAAATCAAATTTTTAATATAAATATATAAAAAAGATATTATTTGATAATATATAATTATTAACAAAATGTTAAGCCATTAAAATTTACGAAGTAATTAACAACTTATAAAATAATATAAGTTAAAAATCAAATTGTTGTTATGAAAATATAATAAAATATTATTTTAATTATTTTACTACAATTTTTCATTTTGTAATTTCTTTTATAATATATAAATGCTGAACTTTTTTTAGTTAATTAAACCCATATTAATTCAAATGCTGAACTTTATTAATTAAACCCATAATTTATAAATGCTGAACTTTATTAATTGTTATTCCCCAAATATATTAACTCATTTTTGATATACTATATTACTTGGGTTAATTAACATATAATTCAAAATATTATTATTTTATAATTTTTATCTTACATATTGTAAAATAAGTAGCATAATATAATTTATAACTCGAATTGAATAATTGAGAAAATTAATCAATAAGCTAGTTTTTTATCGGGATTTAACAAAATTATTTTTAGAATTTGAAAAATATCTAAACAAGTAAATTATGGAAATATAAGTTCACATCCAAATCAAAAACTAATTTGCATCCATTAACCAAAATAAAATATCCACTAAACTAAAAATAAAAAAAAATAAAAGAAAAACACAAAATATAAAATGGAAACAAACATACATATATGTTAATGTTTTCATTATTTTACAAACCATTAATGTCATTATATTTGAAAATATTATGACTAAATAATTTGGTCAAATACTGTTTTCTATGGATGATTAAATTATAATATGACATTATACAAAAATTAAGATACATTTATATTGAAGAAAATAATTTTGTAATGTAATAGACATGTGCAACAGATCTATGCCCTTTAGTTATTTTTAGTCTTCCTAATGTTTCAAGTTTATGTTTCATATTTTATGTACTTAATTTGGCCATTGTACATAAAAAAATCCATAATTGCGTAAAATTATTTTTCGAACACAAGGCATTAAAATTAAACTAAATTTACATAATAATTTATATATTATCTAAATATATTTATATAAATACATAAAAAAAGTAAGAAAATAGAATGAGAAAAATTATTATTTACTCCAAATAAATCTTAATATGTAACATGGTGACTTATTATTGGACTCTCAAAGTGGGTAACCAACGAAAACATAAATAACAAATGTGTGTGAAGTTATTTTCTTAATAATTTATTTAATATGAAATATCACATGTTAGTTCATTTTTCCCGCATTAGTTTGAAAAGCATTACTTTGAAAAAATAGAAATATGAAAAAAGATATCAACAACTATTTCAAACACCAATTACATGACATTAATATGAAGAAGTAATGAGTCGCTTATTAAATCATAAGCGTATTATATAAGTAGACATCCAAAATCCGAAACTAATCAAAAAATTGCATCCATTAACCAAAATAATATATCTACTAAACTAAAAATGAAAAAAAAAAATATCCAAAATATAAAATGGAAAGAATGTACATATACGTGATATTTGTCAGTTTATATAATGTCAAGGAAGGAGAGTTTTGCTATGGAGCCATCGGATGACTCGACTTATGGAGCCATCCACACTTATTCACCAATAGTGTATTGACATGTGTCCTGCAATAAATACGCTTTGGACATGTGTCAATATATTAAGTGGTGAATGGCTCCATAACAAAACCATTCGATGGCTCCATAGAATTTTTGAAGGAACAATTACTACTCTCTCTCAATGAAAGGACTCTTAACAAATGACAATCATGCCATTAAAAAATTGTTTATATAATGTCAAGGAACAATTACTATTCTCTCTCATTAAATGGACTCTTAACAAATGACAATTAAGCCATTAAAAAATTAAAATAGTAAGGGTAATTTGGTCTATCCAAATTTTACAAAAACATTCACACTTTTAAGTTAGTAGAGATAGAGATAGAGACAAAGATAGAGATTTCAAGTGGTATGTCATTAAGGCGTTGTGTGCGCCATAGTAAATTATACACAAGAATGATGGTAACATTAGGGCATGGCTTGCTTATAGTGATGCTGATATAAGCTCGGAAGTTTGCTCGGATAAACTATCCTGGTGTTCTTAAAAAAAGAAAAAAGAACAAAAAAAAAAAAANTTCAACTAATTACAAAGGGCAATCAAGAAACTTGTATAAACTTCAAAAAATACACGAATACATGAGCATTCTACTGATTACAAAGGCCAAACTCCCTCCTAACAGGAAATGAACTTGCACCAAACGGGGGAGCAAATATTTACTCTCCCTCAACGGCCGATATGACTAAGGCTAAGCTACTGGAGCACACTCAAATATCAAACTCAAAGGAAGTAAACAAACAAGACTTAACTAACATATAAACATCCTCAGCAATAAGTCTTACATTAGCCCCAAACACAAAATTTTTAATTAGTAAAGAAGCAGTACTTTTATCACTAATGTAGCAACTGAAAAAATGTCAACTCATGCCCAGGGTCTTCTCATGTCCTATCCTCACAACTTGCAGTACCATCTCTTTAGAGTTTGCAACCCAATCCGAAGATGGAGACCATTTTTGCACGATTTTCCCTTCCCTTTCAGTAATGCAATCCATCCCAACTTTACTTCCAGTAGAAAGCAGAGCACTGACAGTTATTAAAGGTTGTCCTACTCTCTTGTAAAACTTTTCTACTTGATTTTGAGTTGGAACCTGCACTATAACCTTATCTATAGTATTATCCTCAGTCACAGCCAGAAACTCTTGTCATTCCCCTCTTTCTCCTACCACCAGATCTTTCTCATGAATTCAATCTCCCTTAAACACCCACTTGTTTCTAGATCTCCGTAACCAACAGAACAAGTAGCTGGATAGGCAGATTTTGTCTTCAACACAAGCAACTTTATCAAGGTTACAAATTTCTCTCCACCATCTCTGAAAATTTATTTGTTTCTCCTCCAACAAGTCCCATGTTATTCTACTTAACTTTCAACAGGAAATAGCTCTTGGATACTTAAACAGGATATGGTCTAAATCTTCTTCAACATCACCCCACACATTACAAATCAAGTCAACCTTTGCTCCATTATTCTGTAGTTTGGATTTACAACTTAAGAACTGAAACCAACACCTCCAAAGGAAATACTTTATCTTTTTTTTTTATTGGTAAACTCCACGTCTTCCTCTACATCCTTCTGGTAACAGTGCTTTCCATACTTGATCTAGTAGTTTCCAGGGAGTTCTCTTGAGCTACAATTATTACTTGTAAACTTCCTTAGCTGAAAATAAACCTTTCTCGTTCCAATGCCAATCAATTTATCTCTCCCTCTAAAATGACTTAAAAGGATCTTCAAATAAGATCTGCATCTACAGGGTTAAAGGTTTGTAAATAAAATAAGATTTTTTATCCCACTTTCTTCCCTTAATTTAATCACCTCACTAACCAGGTGATTCTATCCCTATCCCCTTGATAATGGCAAAGAGGTTTAAAGGAAGAGTTTTTTGGGATTCAAGGAGAATCCCATGGATGAATTGACTGTTCATCCCCATCCTGATATCTAGCACCAAAACTCAGAAATTTTCTAGCACCTAGCCAACTCCTCCAGAGCCATAAGTCATTGTTTCAACCCTTAACCTCCATCAACTCCATTTTTTATAAGTATCTACCATTCAACACTTTGCTCACTAGAGGATTGAGTTTTGTCATTATTCTCCACAATTGTTTCATAATTAAGGATTCATTGAAAGCTCTTAAATCTCTAAACCGCAAGCCCCCCACTTTCTTAGGTTTTGATAGTTTATTCAAGTAGCCCAGTTAATTCTCTCTCCCCAAATATCATTTTTTCTCCACTAAAATTTAGCAATCTCCTTACAAATGTTTTTAATTGTAGCAACAGGAACTCTAAAACAAAACATCGCATAAGTATGGAGAGCACTAAACACTAATTTAATCAAAGCTTCCTTGCCTGACTCACTCAGAAAGTTATTTTTTCAACTATTGATCTTTTGTGACACATATTCACTAACAAACTGAAAGGTCTCTCTTTTAGACCTCCCAACACCCAAAGGGAGGCCTAAGTATTTAACTGATCTAACTCTAGGTATTCCAGTGAGCACATTGCAAATATCCAGAAGAGTACCTACAATAGTGCTTTTGAAAAACAAAATAGATGACTTATCAAAATTTATTAACGGACTAAAGTCATTACCATAAGCAATAAGAATATTCAGAATGAGATGAACATGGTGAACATCAGCCTTACAAAAGAGAATTGAATTATCAGCCAAAAAGAGATGAGAAACAACATAAGCATTTTTACATATCTTAATCCCCTTCAAGGAACCACTAATATTAGCATGTTTAACCAAATTAGAGAAGGCCTCATACTATAAGATACACAAATAAGGAGATAAAAGGTCACCATGTCTAGACCTCTACAAGGCTGAAAAAAACCCAAAACACTTCTATTAATTAATATTAAAAAAGTCCGAGTTAGTTTAACCATGTCACCATACCTAATGACTTTTTTATAATATGAAATGTCTACCTCTAGACTTTTATAAGTTTTAAAAAGTCGAGTTAATTTCACTGATATTTTTAAAATATGAAAAATAATTTCAAAATATTGAATGAATACACCCATATGTTTTGAACTTCAGATTTGTAGTAGAATATTAATATAAAAGTATAAAATTAAAAAAAATAAAAAAGCCACTTTATCAAATTTGTCAACGTATTTTTTATTTTAAGTGAAATTTTATAAAAATAAAATAAATACAAAATGTTTCGATAGTGACGTTGCCCGTCTGTATATGACCCATTATGCTGTGCTATTTAAAACATTACAATAAAGGAAGTCCATTATTTCTATCCCCATCATTTTCTCCCTCGGCCCCAAGGGACCCGCCAACAAGCCACCACCCTCCGCTCCAATCCCATGTTGCCCCCCACCGCAGGCAGCCCCCTATGCTGTCTCCTCTAATCTTAGCACACACATAAACACGCACTATTATAACCCTTCACCTCTCCTTAAAGCCAAGAAAATGCTCCCTTAGCTCTGTACTTGATCACTTTTAATGTTAGTTATTTTTTGGTATTGTTTTAGTTTACTGTATACCGAAACAAAAATCCCATCTTTTCATTGTGTGTCACAAGATCAGTTTTTCCTCTTTTTATCACTCTCCACCTCTTATCTCAAGGCTATTATATCTTCCATGTTTGGCCAAACCCTAGATCTGTCCCCCTGTAAGTGAATAAACACTGCTCCCTGTTCTTTTTCCTGCACAGAAACTGCAAAAGGGTCTCTCTCTGTTTGGTTTATTTTTGCGCCTTTTTCTTCTTCAAGCTCATCACTTAATATAGCTGTTAAACCTGCCCAGCTTTTTTTTTTTTTAACTTTTCTCATTGTTTTGCTTCTTCAGGAGCTGGGGAATTAGTTAAACTAGCTTACTGAGCCCTTATTTAAAAAGAAAAATAAATGTTACTCAGGCACCAACAAAGTAGTTTGTTTGCATGTGTGTGCATAACATCTGTTGCTTATATGTCTGCTGACTTCAATAATGTTGATTACAGGTGCAGATTGCGTGGGAAGTGAAAGGAGAATTACATAACACCGAAATTAATTCCGGGTTTTCGCTTTACAAGGGAATAAAACTAGTTAAAGAGGGGAATTTAAAAATTAAAATAGAAGACATGAGTGGCACAGCATCCACATCTGTGACTGTGGGGCTGGGGATAGGAGAAGGATGTGCTGAGGTGGCATACGGCGGTTTAAGGTACTACCCGTTTACAGCTATCCAACGACAAGAGCTCGAGCATCAAGCCATGATATACAAGTATCTGTTGGCTGGTCTGCCCGTGCCACCTGACCTCATCATGCCAATACGCCATAGTTTTGAGGCGCTCTCTGCTCGTCTTTTCCACCACCCTTCACGTAAATCTCTTGCTTGTTTTTATTCTCTCCGTCCTTTTTTTGAAGTTATCGAAAGTATCTTATGCTGAAAGCCCTGTGTACGGTTGTTGGTCATTCTGGGTGGGTGTTAAGGATCAAAATGGTAGATATTTAATAAATGTTTTCATTAGAAAGTGACTGGTGAACTCCAACAGTTTTTTGCGCTTTATTGTGTTCAGGAGCTTCTGTTTTCTTGCTAGTCATGAGATAGTAGATTATATTATCGGTGCTTCAATATTGATGCTTTATGCGTACTGAGATACCGAGCTTCATTCTTACTTGCTCCAACCAAAAATCTAGAGATTATTCTAAAACATTCTTGTTTTGATAAGAAAAATTTGGCCATGAGTAATACTAATAAAAATCTAGAGATTATTCTTAAGCATATATTGGCTGTCTCAAGTCAATATATATGTGACAGATAACCAAGTTTAAACTGCTTGTCTCGACTTCAGGAGTGTTTGCAAACACTAAAAGTATGCACACACACAAAAAAAGAAAAATGACCAACTTTGTGCATCCAAGTGGATAAGTTAGTGCGGCTTTACTCATAGAAGCTGACAATTGTCCTGTTTTGGTGTTTGAATACATTTTTCGTGTTTTGAAATACAATTTCACTAACCGTGACCTGAAACAATGACAAAAAAAATGNAAAATGAAACTCGGTGCTGTTATTCTCCGTGCAGTGGGCTACTGCTCCTACTATGGGAAGAAATTCGACCCAGAGCCCGGAAGATGCCGGAGGACAGACGGAAAGAAGTGGAGATGCTCAAAGGATGCTCATCCCGACTCCAAGTATTGCGAGCGGCACATGCACCGCGGCCGCAACCGTTCAAGAAAGCCTGTGGAATCCCAAAACAACTCATCTCACTCCATCCCCACTGCACTGCCACGCGTGTCTGGAGGCACCAACATCACCGGAAACTTCCAGAACATGCCTTTATATTCAGTCATGGGCTCCCAGAGTTCTCCCTATGGGGGCAGTGTGGCGAAGCTGCAGATGGAGCCTGTTTCATATGGGATGGATCACAAGGAATTCAGGTACAGAGATTGTTTGGTTTTCTTGAATGGAAATTGTTATTCCTTTCTTTGATTGTCCTTCTGAAGTCTTACTTGTGCATAAATAGTAGGAAAGAAACAAAAAACATGTACTTTCACTGGTTTGCAATTCTCTTCGATAACAGGTGGTTGTTTTTGTTCGAAAAATAGAGTGAAGCAATTAAATGTTGCATGTGTTTACGGATCTTGAATCAGAACCGATAGAGAACTTTAGAAACAAAAGCATGTACTTTCACGGTCGTGTGACTCTCCAGCAGCTAAAATACTTGTGTTTCTCTTAAATGACTCATGTGGTATTAGTGCCGTCATTGCACGAGTAATGTTGCATGTTTTGCGCCCGGTTTTTATTGCCTTTCATCATAGTTTATTAAATTTAATTCAAGAGTGTAGAATTTGATTAGGAAATGTGACCAAACCTACAAGAGAAACACTCTAATGCATGTAAAAATGATGCATGTCAATTGCAAGAAAATTAGGAATGCCTTTTCAGCTAATGAGTTTCTACGAAGTAGTATTGGTAAAAAGCATACTAGCAATACATCTGAAAAGCATTCTATTTCAGTTATACGATGCGTGTGTGTTTCCGGAACTTTTTGAAATGAAGATGCTTAATTAGAATCCTTAATTGTTTATGCTCAACCATCTGCTGCTCTTTAGTATGAAAGTAGGTTGAATTTGCACTGTTACTTTTGGTTCCCAGTTTTCTGCGATATAGAAGATAAGTACTCATAATCTCATTAGATAGAGAAAAGCATGGCATTTTCTTGCATGTTTATAATCTAAGTTTTCCCAGTGCTTTACCATCTGGCAGTGTGAATCAGGGTGAGCCTGTGAGGCAAGTAGAAAGGGGGAAAAAGAAGGTCTTTAATGGAAATATAGAAGAAATAGTTAAATGTATTTTTTTTTATTTTTTTTTTCCTCATGGATACTCTATGGCTATCTTAGGCAAGCAAACATTGAAATCCAGTTCTTATCTATTAATATTTCCTTCGAATAGATCTTGTATGACAACTAGACAGTTACAGATTTTCATACTAATATGAAGTGTAGAGAAAGTCATCTGCAAACAATCGGTTTCTTCTGCTTAGAGGCAGATTGAGACATTTCACATTTTAGAATACCGCATTTACTAATAATAACCAAGGAAAGTTGTTTGTGCTTCCTGTCTCGTGCACATCTTTATAGCAGTTTTTGGGGAAGAATTTTTCTAACGATGACCTAGAGACTTGCTAACTTGAGTTAAATAAACAAACAGGTATAATAATAATATTCAGGGACTGACTCCTGATCCCGATGATCAAAGTTTCTCATCAGAAGCTTCCGGACTGGATTTGAGCTGCAACTCAGGAGGCGCCACGTGGCGGCTCATGCCCACTCAAGTCTCGTCGAGCTCCCTTCTGAAACAGAAACCAGATACCCAGTTGTTGGGCTCATCCTCAACCCCACGAAACATGGCCCATGCTTTTGAGCCCATAAGTGCCGACATGTCTAGACAGCAAGATCAACACCCAGTGCATCCTTTCTTTAGTGAGTGGCCAATGAACAAGGAATCATGGTCCACTCTTGATGATGATGAAGATGTGTCAAACAAGAATGTTTTCTCCTCCACCCAGCTGTCCATCTCGATCCCGAGGGCATCTTCTGGTTTTACTTTGAGGGGTGGTAACTCCTCCAATGGTGAGTAATAAAAAGGATTCCAGTGGGTAAGTTGAGACTGCCTACTGGAATCTTTCGATTTAATTTAGAAACTTTTACATTTTTGTCCATGATGGAAATCACTTTTACCAGAACATGCGGTTGTTCACGTAGTTTCATCTTTTTCAATTGCCCATCACAAAAAAGGAAAGAAAGAAAATCAAATTCCCATTTTCACCTACTTACACTTCCAACCACCGATTGTATTCGAGCAATATTTAAACTATTTTGACGTCGTATCAAATTTTAACGTAACAATTTCATTTCATATATATTTGCGTAGAAGTTCATTCTTATTGCAAAATCTTGCTTCTCGTTGTTCTCTGACGGCGAAAAAGAAAATGAAAGGACATGTACTAACATCCTTGAATTACCGTATGGTTGTAGCAGGCTAAGATACACTACAATAGGATGAAATTACTCAAGATTGGATACTATTTGTAAATTTGATGGTTTAATCGTGCAGATAATTGACGGAAGATGATTTTAGCACTAAAACCAATCGGTGGCTGCTGCTTGCTGATTGATGTTGTGTCTTGAGGACTGGCATGTTTGTGTGATATTCATGTACACTATGATAGTTGTTGTCTCGATGTTTGGATTTTTTTCTGGAACTACTGTATTTTTCTTTAAGTGAACACTGTTGTATTTGAGTTGGGTCTCCTGAATAATTTGTAATTCTCCGAATTCATTCCATTGAGTAAGTGTCATCTTCTTCCAGTCTTCAAGCTACATATTCCATTGAGTAATGTGCGTTTGCTCTCTTTTCTTGGGAGTTAGTCTGATTTCCATTTTGTCTTCATGTCTATGGACTCATTATCTCTCAATTGTGGGATTTCATTAAGGTGTTGCATACGCCAGATAGTAAATTATGCGCATGATGATGGTAATATCAAACTTTTGAGGATGAAATAAGCTTGAAAATGTTTTTGAGCTATGTTTTGATTGAAAACAAATAACCCCTGAAGGAAATCAGTGTATTGACCAAAGCACAGAAACATCATATTTTCAATTGACCATTAATAGATTGTAGTTGTGATCTCAAATGTTACAGAAATCGGCTCAAAGTCAGAAGTGTTATGTCAATTCAAGAGGCAAAAATGAGAGGAAAAAAAAAAAAGAAAAAAAAGGTAACATAAAAATATTGTAGCATCAAAATGGGCAAAACATATGGAATGTATTTTTCTCGTGTAATTGCAGCACTATTGGGTACAACCTTTTCATTAACGATTTCAGGATTCAAATCCTGACGCAACATGCAAAGACATCCTAGTCATGGAGCATGTCAGCCTTCAATGGTCGTCTGCTCAACTTTTCATATCTGCAAGACATAATTAATGGAGTATGAGGCAGTGAAGTTCATACATATACATGGCCAAACATGAAATTTTATAACTAATGTGAAGTCGAACAATCTCAAGGTCTTTCTAGTCTTTAGGATTAGGAGTCACCTTTCACTTTTCAGCTCCGATAATAATCTGATAATAATAATGGTTTACAGTGTTTTAATTCACATATCTTATTAATGCAATGCGCGCATATGAAATGACCGGCAATTCTTCCATTGCAAATTGTCATGTCTGTTTATCAGTGGTCTCTTCTTAACTGATGAATTAACCTAAACTTTATGCGCAGATACTAATTTCTAAATTACAGTTGCTAAAGTATGAGCCAAGATCATAACTGATTCTAAGCACTTTGGCAGAACCAAAACTAGCAACCACTGTAATCATAAAAATGGCTTTACATACAGCCAAAATAACATCTAAAGGTGACAAAGAAAATAACAAAAATTCAATGATAGCACAAAGTGCCACTTTCTTTAATGGCCATTCAGTTCAAATTTCCAATCATAGGAAAAAATAGTATCATGTTGGAATATACCTACCTTTATCCTTAGCGAACAAGCTGCTGCCGGCTCTTTGTAAACAACCTGTAATCTGCTCGACATTGGAGATCAACATAGTTCTCACATCAGGCAAATCTCTCATGTTTTCTCTCAGACCATCAATTTTGAAGCCTGAAAACGATGCACGTAGGTTATTTCGTAAATCAGAGACTTGCCAATTACTTTTGTCCCATCCGTCTCCTTCAATACTTCTGTTGCCAAGCCCAGCTTGAGCAATGTCTAATACACCTCTCCGTGTAACCATAAAAGCTGACAACAAAAAAATAAAATAAAATAAAATAAAATTATACAGTTCACGCAAATATTCGCCGGCCGGAAAATAAAACCACGATTATGAAAAGTGCAATATACCGTTGTGAGGGACCGTGAAAAGGTAATTGGCTGGAAGACCAATTCCAATGCCCAGCAATGTGATGCCGACATTGAAACCTAAACCACAGCCAGCCCCAACATAGCCAATGACTTCCGGGCCGAAGCCGGGCCCCCACCCAATGCCGCAACCGAGGCCCAGCCCGATTCCCCAAAAGGCTCCACGAGTGGGGTGCACAGGGTTCCACCTCTCGTATCGCCTGAAAATGTTCTTGATAATCATTTTCTACCTGAAAAGCCACCACAGATCAACAGGAAAACAAAATTGAGGTTCACAACAACTTTGTGAAAACTGAAAAGGTTCGCTCACAGGTTAACTACAATTTGAATCAATTGCTGGTGTAAATCAGTTGTTTTTGTATCTATTTCGTTCCAACTAATGTGATTTACAAAATCAATCACCTCGGGTATTTCTGAATTTCCAAAACCCATAATCATACATCACACATTTCATAAAAAATCACCTCGAAAATTCAACTGAAAAGAAAAAACTCTGTAAACAAACCATTGAAGTCACGTTAAGGTGGAAAATTCATTCAAATGTCGACTCAAAAAGAAAAGGACAAATGGGCAGACAATTTCACGAGTGAGAATGTGATCGATTTCCTATTGGTAGAGCTTTGAGTCCACGGCAATATCATCCATATAACAGGTGAAGGGGGAGAAGGAGAACCTGGAATTGCAGGAACACGTATTCATGCGCTCGAGCAGGAAATATAACAGTGAGCAATATCTTAACTCTGAAGAGCAAAAGTGAAAATATGGATAAAACTGTGAAATGTGAATAAATTATGGCCACAGGAGTGTGTAAGTTACAGATGGCGGACCCCGCTTGGGCTGATTGGACAAGGACTCGTCAACGTGTCCACTACAATGAGAAGATAACTAAAAACTAAATTTGATTTTTAAAATTTTTTTTTTATCATAATTAAATTTGAAAAATTGATATTTGAGTGGGTTTGAGTTTGTATTAAAAATAATATTTAAAATAAAATTTTAAAGTTGATTTGATACAAATGCAAGAAAAAAAATTATTAAAAATTATATTTAATTAAAATTATATGAATGAATGAATAATAAATTAAAATTGATATGACGTATGGAAATAAATAATTATTACATTTAATTATATTAATAATATTGAAGATAATTGAATTGAATTTTAAATTAAAAAATATAAAATAAAATAACTAAATCGGTCAAATCGATTACAAACCAATTTTGTGTCATATCCAAGACGCGCCCGGAGTGTCCGCCAGTCGCATCCATGTCCATATCCTTGAAATTTGAGGCGCGAGAATATCTTGATACTAAAAGTTCTTAACATCCTAAAGTCAACATATTTTTATTTGTCAATCATCCACAAGCCAGCATCCATACTTAATTCTCCCTTAGTTTCATTCAGTTTACTCACAGGCACTAAAAATTGCTGAGAAATTAGGTACCCCCAAAGAAGCGAGTATTTTTATTGATTCGAAGTAATGCAACGAAAATCAAATCCAACTTTATCCACGCAGATAAAATGTAATACGAAACCGAAAGCCACACCCAACATAAAACAAGAAACTGAATAAAATCACACCAAATGACAAAACTTCAAGCCACATGCACACTAAAGCGTAGAAACTTGTCTGAACCATTTCCTTTCATCCAGCCACCTTCCTGTTATAAGCTGCTCGTGTGTGGATAACTTCTTGTGAACGCCCGAGAAACAAATTGGACTGCCCGTGCCAACCTCCAGCCTTCATAGGTGGAGGCACAGACCCCACTGCCATGTCAGCAAACTTATTGACAGTATCCTCCACATCACACGTTTTCCCAAGGTTGCCAGCTGCTGTAATGCAATTTATCAAACATCAGAATCCATGCAAAACCTTAAACCATGGTACAACCAAAAATCCTATGTGCTATCGGTTATCTAATTAGTCCATCAATTGAAACAGATGAGACTGCCAGCTATCAAGATTCCCTATGCATGAAGTGAATAAGGTAATAGAAACTTACATGGGCCGTTTATTCCAGGTGGCTGATATTTTGGCTGAGGCTTAGTATAGTTCTTAAAGTCCTTGCAATTTTTCGACAAATCCTGGCGCCATTTATAGATTGAAAAATTATTAGGAATATATGACATGAGATAACTACAAATCGGTAATGTTGCTTGAGATTACCTGATCATTCCTGCCCAACTTCCTTTGAGCACCTGCACAATTTGGAACTATGTCATAAACTGATGGTTTTCAACAGACCCACAACCCAGAACCAGACATAACAGAGATATATTTAACAAATATACAAAATAAAAGAGAAATAATTGACCCATTCAACTATGAAGAAACCAGAGTAGGCTCAAAACAAGCTAAATGTATTCCAGTCCATGCTTCAGCATTATAAGCTCTAGGAAACACTAAGCGGATGAATTTAGTTTAACCACAGTAGTGGATCACAAGCAACAAGTAAAGGCATGTACTCGAGGATTTTTATAATGGGAAAGAAATAACTAATAGACCTGAAGCCAATAACAATCAGTAAATATGCCAAACAATTACTATAAAATATATTATACCTGGAACCATGTATGCCTGTGGTTTTCCAGGAGGAAAATTGTTTTCTGCTCTTAAGTTTGATATACATCCCATGTACTTCCTCTCATAATTTTGTTCCAATATTCCCCTTGTTCCAGCTGCAAGGAGAAAATATCTGAATTCTCTAACCTCATAATATCCAACAACAAAGAGAAGTTAATTGCATGAATTGCAAAGTCTAACCAGGAGGAGGTGTTCTCGGAATTGCAGCATTCAAGCGTAGAGATGGAGGAACATAAAAGCAACTCTGTCGAATTTCAAAGCATTTGTTAGGACTCAAAAAATCAACCATAATGCATTCACGTTTATCTGATGTTGGCCAAATATATAAGAGGTTGAGTTACAACCAAGAGAGTGTAAACCACCTGAAAAAAAGGATGTTGAAGGACCTCCAAGGCTGTGGGCCTCTTGCATGGATCCCACGAACACAGGGACTAAAGTTGGCACAATCAGGAAAACAAACGAATTAGTTTCAGACACTGAAGAAACATAATTCTTCTATTCCCATCATGAAACTTTTGAGATAGGAGCATTACCTTGATGAGATTAATTGCATCCTGACTAACACCTGGTATCAGAGCAGAAAGATGAACCCCAGCAACCTGTTCAATCCCGTTGGGCATAAGATAAATATAAATTGATAAAATTAAAACAGAACATGAAAAAAACACTATTGATCATCCACGCATCCAAACTTTAAAGTATATTAAAATCTGCCAATGAATTAACAGAAGTCATCGATCTATCTTTAAAAGCCTTAATCAAAACAAAATAATATTGCCTTCACAAAAAACTAGAAATAAATGAAGCACACCTGTGGGAATTGATAATTTATGGCACTGGCGAGTTCAAGACCCTCGGTCCATTCATTCCTAGCCGGGCTTCCTATCACGCAGCATATTTTGTAAAGCTCGTCGGCCTCACTAAAAAAGACATATTAGAAGACATCGAGCACCTTCTAAATTATCAAAAGTTAAAATCTTATATTTCAAATAAATTTAGCCTCTACACGCTCTCGGCTCTTCATTTCAGAGAGGGTTGAGTATGAATTTGTTCCAATAAGCCAATGCTTCCAAAAAACAAGACAGTGTAGGAAAATAACAATTCTCACTGACAATAGACTAAGAAAGTAAGGAAGGCGGCTCTCATGGACGATATGTATACCTGGAACCTGGAAATAAAGGGCGCAGCGTGAATAATTCTGCCATTATTGCTCCCATTGCCCACATATCTGTAAGAAAGTAGCATACAAACATCATAAGAAAACATATCTTTGAAATAGTGCAACAGCTTTTGAGTTATCCACTCACCAACTGGAGGGCCATATGTAGGAGACTGAAGTAAAACTTCAGGGGCCCTATACCTGCAACATACATTGGATAAAGCATTGAAAAATATGTAGAATGGTAGAAAATAGAAGACCAGGAAAAAACTACACACCAGCGGGTTGAAACGTATTCAGTGAATGGCGGTTGAGAATTGATCTCCCGAGCAAGACCAAAATCAGCTATCTTTATCTTATCCTTTGATACTAGCAAGTTCTCTGTTAAAGTTCCAGAACTAAACAAATCAGCTACGCTTACCATATCCAATCAAAATGTAGGGGCAAGTGAACAGTTCTGATAATAACACACAGATCACCAGCATGTGCAAGGATCACTCTTCGCAACTAACATCCCTCAGTTGATGCATACCTCAAAAGGTTAATACTGACTTACAATTGACATGAATTATCGAAAGACCATATAGAATAAAACGATTGATGAAAAAATTCATTGAAGATCAAATTTGAGTTTTCAGTTTTGAGACAAAATACTGAAAGTATTGAGACAGTATCACATACGACACAGATCACAGTGATATAAATGCTTGAAAGATATGACGCAACTTAGGTGGGATCTTCATTCAAATAAACAAAACCACGTATCCATAACCTGGCTTGAGGTCACGATGGAAATATCCACGTTGATGTATATACGCAAGACCTTGAAATACTTGAAAGCACCAGTTTCTCACTTCAGTCTCTGAAAAGAAGCTTCCTCTGTCCTTCATAAGCTGGTATAGGTTACATTCCTGAAAGACGTCAACATAGCAACTGCATTCTTGAAAAAAGAGGGAATTTTGCCCAAGAAAAAGAAAAAGCAAGACGAAAGGAAAAACAGAGCATACCATGTACTCAAAAACAAAGTATAAGACATCGCTTTCCCTTATAACTTCCTTGAGCTTCACTATATTTGGATGGTTCATTTTCCTCAGCGACTGCCAAAAATAACCATGTCATTCATCTGACAGATATATATCATAGAATAAACCAAGAAAGAAATACTTCTTACCTTCACTTCTCTAAGATTTATACACTCTTCCCATGAGTAATATTTTTTCTTCATTTTCTTGATCGCAACCTGAACAAGAAATCATTAGCATTACAGATAGTTTTAGTTCCATTTATCCTCAATCTCAAGGGATAACAACCTATCTGATTCAACAACAGAGGAACATAAAAAATTTAACACGGGCATACCACTTCACCAGACTGCTTGTTTAGAGCTCGCCAGACATTTCCAAAGGTGCCATTACCAACTTCCTTAATGACATTGTACCTGCATTGACCATCATGATGCTGAATCAACCAAGGAAAAAAGACGAAAAGTATTCGCAGTAACAATAAATTTGTAGATGTCCCACCTTTCCATTTTGTGATTCAACAGCTCGTGAACACTGCTTATTGGATGTCAAAAAAGAGGTAAAGATAAATAAGTTTTTCCGGTCTGTTGAAGACTGCAAACAAAAACTATCAAGAGGCGTGTCTAATTCAGGAATCCACCATCAATCATCCACAGTACTTGAGCAAAACCAACAGGATTATGATCAATAGGCTTCAGGCATTTGTCAACAACATATGCCAAGTCAAAGATTTTGAACCCAGGACAAGACGGAGGTAATGCTGTACTGTAAAACATCTTGATGCTGATCAAGACTGACCAACAATGTTGAGTACTGCACAATACATCATGTATCGGATAAAGACACTGTCACTCATCGTTTCCAGACATAATGTTCCATTGCAAAGATAATGAATCTGATGCAGCACTTCAGTCAATTGAATATAACTTCTGTCAACTGGCCATCGAGTATAACACAAAAGGATGACTGAATATTATAAGATATCACTCTCTACAGAACAAGAGATACGTAATACTTTGATGATGGTAAACTTGCTTTCACAACTCAAGAGACTCCGGTCCTGGGATGGAAATGGAAAACAAAAACCAACTCAAGCTGAGGTCATTAAGTCATAAGGTTAATAGTAAACTACAAAACAAAAGTAAACACTTGTAATAACTAGATAGTAGCAACCATCAAGGGACCTCAGAAAAAAGAGTCGAAAATATCAGAAAAGGGACGTTGCATCAACGATGCACTATAAGTGACAAAATTGCAAAAGAAGATCAATGGCATAGTGGAAGTGACAGCATAAGAAACTTCTCGAACATACTGGGTTTATGCAACTCACTAGTAGAAGTGACTTAAAGATTCATCATCAACTTTATAAGAAACACGCATTCACCCTCCCGTCCTGATCACTTGGAAATAGCTTTTGACTAAGTGCAATTGACAAAAGAAACAAGAAGAAAATCCCCAAGGATGGAAAATCGCCAGTCAAGAACTTCTTGGAATGAAAAGACCTTGTGTTGATAGCAATCTGACCACATGCAAGCTTCCTCCATGTCATAGATAATATTAATCCTTTTGAATCAAAATGTAATGCAACCTGGCAGCAAAGCGGGAGAAAGATTGGTGAGAAAGAACCCTTAGATGTGGAGCAAGTGAAGGAAAAACTAGACAATAATTCCAACTGAAACCATATAAATTAATACAAATGAATATGACATAGTATAACATACAACAAATTACAAATACAATAGATATTCCACGAAAACCCCCACGATGATGCTGCATCGCATATAAGTCAAAGATAACAACACATCCCCATGAAAACAATTACTAGAAGAATAATTCTCCCACTATTTAGAACAGCTGAAGGAATCCATATAGTCCCGTGATATCTTTAGCAGTACATCTCACGAGAAGAGTATGCCACAGCAATTGAAACATAATAAATCAAGCTCAATCCAAGCAGACAACACAGGCCAGCAGTAGTTCAGACACCCTACCATTAGCAATATTAATACAGTCACTCTGTTCATATGTAACCCGCATCCAGAGTTTTGATTCTAGGTATATCCACGAAAATATTCCCCAATTTTCCATAACATTCTGGTAACCTAACCATAAACAACATCCATCCAGGATTGGTACAGAAAGATAAAAAACCCATGAAAATAATGATTAAACATAAGAGGGGGGAGAGAGAGAGGGAGAGAGAGAGGTCATCGACATAGAACTGAAAAAGTTTTCCTATGTTAACCAGGAAACATGGAGCCATATAACAGGGAAACATAAATACCATAAACGGCACAAGCAAGAGCAGATAATCACATGATTCGCATCTCAAAACGAGGCAACCAAACCAAACAGACACCAATTTTGATCACAATTTCGCATGTAGAGAGAGAAGGGACAAGTGAATAGAAATTTACCGGTACAGCAAACGAAGAAGATGAAACCGAGAGATGCCACTCTTTCTCTCTCTAACTCCCTCCCCAATTTATGATTTTTCTGGGTTTCGTAACCCCCGAGAGAATGTGTTGGAGATTTTATAATGGCATGATGATGAGATGATGATGATGATCTGTCCATGAATCATGATGGGGTATGTTGATGATAATTGTCAAATCATCATAGATGGTAGATTCATAAATAGAGGAAATTTCATTACAAAACCTAAATTTTAATATTTTTGTAACTTAAGGATTTTAATTTAAAATTATTTTCAAACAAGACCTACGTTTATATTTTCGATCTCAATTTAATATCTCATAAAATGCAAATTTAAACATTATTTCTAACTTATATTGTTACATATTTTTAGTAACAAAAACATTATATATATTAAGGAATAAGTAGTAAATGTTTATGGAAGCATATAATATAATTATTTTTTTTATTATTGCTATTATAAACTAGTGCATTACTTATGCAATACATGGTAAAATAATATTATTTTAATTAATTTATTAAATACATCATCGCAGAAACAAAATAAAATGAAGAACAAATGAACTCCTCATGTATCTTTTTGTAAAATAATATGATGTTGTTCTAATATAAAAATAATGAAATAACATATTACAACCTCAACGAAAAGAATATGAAAAATCAGTCCCTAGTGAAAAAATATATTAAAATATAAATAAGGACATATTGTATATTATAGATGCATTAGTTCTTTTATTTATTTATGTTAAGTGATTGAAGGGTAATTTTATTTAATTTTGGCTATAATGTTCTCATAAGAAACATTCATACCCGTTAGAGCCTAATACATCAATAATATTATAAAATTCTTCTTATAATTCATTTGACAAAATGTCTACTATATTAAACACTTAGAAATATTCTTTCGAAAAATATAGTCAACTTCATGATTGTATGATCTTTATAAGGTATTTCTACTAACAGTTCACGAATATCTCGGTGAAATAATCAACCGTGTCATTAAAATTGTTGATAGTTATTTTTATCATTGTTTAAACTACATTGCTCCCTCCATATAGACAAATTGCTAACTACCTCATGTGGTGAGAGTGAATTTCATCTCCAAATAAAAATTGACTTTCCAAAATCTTAGTTATATGTACTTCTCCCGAGCACTAAATTATTTTTTGAAATCACCACACAACAATATCGCGGGCTTGCTGGTATGAGGGTAGATTCTGTGGCGAGGCGTCCGGGGTTGGGTGTCGGATCTTGTTAGGCCTTATGCAATTGCAGGTTCAGTGCTTTACCTCAGTCTTCTGTCGTGTGAGTGATCACTCTCAGCGGTTGGTGGCGGGGTGGACGTGGAGTTGCTAGTCTGTCGGGGAGGAGGACTTTCATTTAGTTTATTGTTGTGTTTTCTAGTTGTTTTTAAGTTTGTGTTTGCCCAGGCCCGTCTTTTGGTGCTAATTAGTGTTATTATATTAAACGAGCTTGGTTCGGCTCGGTTCGAGCTCGGTTCGTTAAGGCTCGAGTTCGGCTCGAATTTGAGGCCTTAACGAGCCGAGCTCTAGCTCATTTAAAGCTCGATTGGCTAACGAGCCGAACTCGGCTCGGCTCGATAAGGCTCGAAAATAGAATTTTTATATAATTTTTTATAGTTCGGCTCGTTAAAGCTCGAGATCGACTCGAGCTCGAGACTTTAACGAGCCGAGCTCGAGCTCGATTTCAGGCTTGTTTATTTAACGAGCCGAGCGGGGCTCGAGCTCGAGCACAAGCACCCTAAGCTCGAGTTCGGCTCGGCTCGTTTACAGTCCTAATGCTATTGGAGTTGGATGATTGACCCTGTGTGGGCCCGATCGTTTTTTTATTGCCATTCGGGGTGGAGGTCTAACAACTTCTTTGGTGTTGCAGGAATGAAATTGTAGTGTTGTGTTGTGGGGTTAGTATTTATATGATTTTTCTAGTTCTGTTAGTTTTTTATTTTGCTGTAGGTGCGTTTTCTCCTAGGGGGAGCATTCTTCTCCCGTAGGGGAGCTTGTATTCTCCGGTTTGGGAGTTTTATTCTCCAGTTGTGGAGCTTTTTAGTTTAGCTTCTAGGCGATCCTCTGGATTCGTCCTCGCACTAGATTCGGCTTTTGAGTTGTTTCTGGATGTATGTATCTATTTTTTCTTCTATAATATTTCTGTCGTTGAAAAAAAAAAGATTGTAAATACTCCTGTAAAAAAGTGACAAATGCACTCATGCATTCAAGAATGTTTTGATCAGGCTCCGACATTCCTTTTTCAATGTGATTTATTTAGAAGATAGACGAACTACATAATCTATTATTTGCAAATCATTGACCATTTTGGTTGTTGTAATGATTTTAGAGTTGTTTATCATAATATCTTTCACATATCGTACAAATTTTCAATATTTATGTGCCTAATAACTTCTTTAATGTCTTATTATCCAACTTTTTGCATCATAAGTAATGCTTCGAAAATTTAGGATAAAGATCATTTTTTGATTCTTCAACAATGACAAAACAAAACAAAATAATAGAGAATATTGAGAAGCATATCATTTGTCAAAATATTTGCAAGGAGAAGAATTAGAATTCTATTATATTATGATACTCTTAGTCACATGTGGATTTTATTATTGAGAAGTCATTATTAAAATATATATTATGTATTACAAAGTTTATGATTTTTTAATTATTTAAAATTAAAATTTGATAATACAGGATCATTATTTATGAGAACCAATTTCATACAGAGTCCATATATTTAAACAAATTTCATACAGATATTTAAACACTAACAACAATAAAAAGTAGTAATTTTAAAAGAATTTTGTTTCTAGATATTGATATTTATACATCTCTAAGAAAATTCATATTTTTTTCTACGGTTGCATTGCTATTTATTTATTTGTTTCTTATTCGATTCACAAATAATATCTTATTTGGTGAAAGAAATAGAGTACATTTATATGTATTCCGTCATTTTTGTGTACGTGTTTTACATAATGATGTTGCTACTAAAATATCTTATTTATTCAGTTACAACTTATATAATAATATAAAATAAAATATTAATGTTTGTATACAAAAATTTTCACTCAAAATTTAACTCAACTTTAACTCAACTCCACTATCATCAATATTATCAATATAATTAAATAGGAGAATTTTCAATACAAGGCCTGAAAGATAGGTAAACTATCAAATCGGGGCTTAAAAGATTTTTTTTCTCAATTCGGGACCTAAATGTTAAAAAACTATCAAATTAAGTCCTAGAATTAACCAAACTCATAACACCATTAAATCGAGAGTTAATTTGAAGTTTTAAATCACCAAATCTGTTACAAAGGTAAAAAAAAAAAAAAATAAAAAAAANGATAGTTTACCCATCTTTCGGGTATTGTATTGAAAAAATTCCTTAAATAAATATAATTAATTATTGTTATTTTTAGCAAATTAAATGTAGAACACAAGTTTCATATTAAATAGATAAATGCTAACTGTACGTAATAAATGTACATAGATGTGTACATAACACTCACATGGAGTGAGATCCACTTGATTTTTTATTTTTGGTAAGATCCACTTGATGTGAGTGTATGTACATCTATGTATACTATTATGTACTTGTAGCATTTCTTTATTAAATAATATCACTTTGTTAATTCTTTATTGTTTATAATTCAATTCCAAATATCCGTATTTTACTACGGTACTCGTACCAGTACCAATATATTTATTTGTAAACAAGCAAACCATGAACCTTTTGATATTATTGGACAAAAACGCCCCTATCGTGACCAAAAATATCTCCTCAACCTTCTGGAGATTTCAAATTCAAATTCCTCATATTCTCTCCATTCACCAAAACTCCCCCACAAATACTCTACCCTTAGGTTGAGTTCTCATGGTGAGAGTTTTCCTTCTAGTAAGGATTAGTTCCACATAGTTGGATTCTTGCTTTGGATCTTAATTTTTGGGGTGTTCTGTTGTTTGTTTTTTCCCAGATCTAGGATCTCAGTTCTCTTTTAGCTTTTCCCTTTATTTTCGTTTTAATTAGGGTCTGTTCTCGTTTCTTCTTGTCGCTTTTTCGGATCTCATTGTCTTCGTTTTTCATCTTGTTCTTCCCTCTTCCTTTTCGGAGTGGTTTCCTCTCTGTCATTATCCTTGGTTGGTTCCTTTCCTGTCCAGTATGGCGGAAGATCTGACTGAAAAACTAAATAAATTTAGGTTATCAGCAAAAGAGGAGGTGGGCTTGGAAATAGTAGTGGATGATTATGCGCTGGGTCTAAAGGAATGCCAGCAAAGTCTGATTGGAAAGATCTACGGGGATAAGAAAGTTAATTTCAGTGGGTTAAAGACAACCCTAACATCGATATGGGTCACTCAGCAACAATTCCATATCCGAAGTCTAGGCCCGAATCTGTTTCAGTTTGTTTTTAACTCAGCTGAGGATAAAGAGAAGATCCTGCAGGGTAAAACATGGTCGTTTGATGGGCAGTATTTACTGCTAAAAGAATGGTGCCCTGAATCTCCCAATTTTTCAGAACAAGATGAGAAGATTAAAATGTGGGTGCAGATACACAATCTTCCTCTTCACTGGCTTACCATGGAAATTGGTCTCAAGATAGGACAAATCATAGGCACGGTGCTTGATGTCCTGGTGCCAGGAACAGGAAATTCCAATGGAATGATTCTCAAAGTTCAAGTAGAACTGCAGCTCAGGGAAGCTCTGATGAGAGGAACCACTCTAATAATGGGACATGAATCTAAATGGGTCGACTTCAGGTATGAAAATCTCCAATCCTTCTGCTTCTACTGTGGTCACATTGGACATATTGATAAAAGTTGCCTTTCAAAAAAGGATGATTTAAAAAGAAATGTGGTTAATGTCGGCCAGTTTGGAGAGTGGCTAAAGGCCAATTCTTCTTTTTCTTTTGAGTCTAGAAATTTCAGAGCCTCTGAGTCTGGTGGCACTAGTGTAGAGAACTCCAAAAAGGATTCTGGCCAAAATGTTGAATTAAATTGTCCTGGAGATGATGATGCCTTCACCTCAGATAGAGGGGGGTCCTCTCCCTTAGGTCAACATAGTGGGGTAGGTGTGTCTGTGACTTCTGGTTCTTCTGCAGGGGGAAAAGAGGCTACATCTAATGTGCCTAATTTACCTAATGATGATCCAACTGTGAAAACTCCCACAGCTAATGATTCTGAGGATCAATTAGTTGAGGTAGTTATCCAACCAACAATAAGTGGGCAACAATCTGTGATTCACAAAAGGAAAACCACTTATAAAAAAAAGGTCCCAAATTGTCCTAGTGTCCCAGAGGACATGGTTGTTGAAGGACCTAGTGATTTATTGGTTGTTTCAAATAATAAAAATGTGGTTGGGAAAAGAAGTTTCACTGATTGTAGTCCTTCTTTAGTAGAAGTATGTGTGTGGAGGGGCCTTCTAAAAAATTGAAATCTGATAAAACTTTTGATCCATGTGTGGTGGAGGGGACCAGCCCTAATTGGTCCCAAGTGTCTAAATGAAAGTATGTGTGTGGAATTGTAGAGGTTTGGGAGGACCCTCTACAATTTCCCAATTGCGAGAAGCTTTTAGAGCTCACCTCCCTGTTTTAACTTTTCTTTCTGAAGTAAAAAAAAAGAAAAAATTTGTTTCTTCTGTTTGTAAAAAGCTGAAATTAGAGGATAGGTGGATGTATTGTCAGCCTATTGGTACAAGAGGAGGGCTCTTACTCTGTTGGACCAGTAGTTTAACTATTCTGGATTTCTTTTGTTATGATTTCTGCATTGGTATTAAATTTTGTTGTGCTGGGAGTGATCTTGTTCAATGGGGGATCTTTGTCTACTCTAATACTGACTCTGAGGTTAGGAAGCTGCAATGGGAATTGTTGACTAACCTAAAAGAGCAGTGGGGGGATCACTGGTTTCTGACTGGTGATTTTAATGACATTCTCTCAATTCAAGATAAATCTGGGGGTAGGACTAGAGAAGAGTCCAGTTTTCAGCAGTTTAGAGATTGTGTCAGTCATGGATATGTCTGAGACCAAAACTATTGGTCATCATTTCACTTGGTCTAACTTAAGACAAGGGTCTGAGTTTATTGAAGCTAAATTAGATAGGTTCTTTTTCTCCCATAGCTGGCTGAACCACTTTCCTAATGCCATTGTTAATCACATTTCTTTAATCTCCTCTGACCACAGTATGCTGGTGTTGGAGACTGATCATAGCTGTAAGTTTAAACCTAGAAGGTTTGTGTTTGATGCTAGGTGGATTAAAAGGGAGGGTTTTAGAACTGTGGTTGAGAATGCCTGGAATTTACCTGTGTGTGGGTATCCTCTGTTCAGTATTCAACAGAGAATTAGGAATGTGAGGATGGCCCTTCTTAACTGGAACTCTAGCTTTTGCCTGAATTCTGCCAAGCAAATAGAGGAATGTCAAGTAATTCTGAAAAGCTTAGAAACTCAAGGTAGTGATAGAGACTGGGGTGATTGGAACAAATGGAAAGATAAACTGCACCAGGCTTACTTAGATGAGGAAACCTATTGGCTCCAGAAATCTAGAGTTCTTTGGTTAGAGGGAGGGGATAAGAACACTAAATTTTTCCATGCTTCAGTGAAACAGAGGAGGAAAGAGGGTAGCTTTGATAATCTAGTGAACTCTAATGGGAATAGGTGTTCTAATGACCAGGATATTGCTTGTGAAATTGAAGCTTACTTTCAGAATTTGTTTTGCTCTTCTCAACCTACTCTTGATTCTTGTGATTTGAATGGCATACCTCGGACTATCACTGAGGTTTTGAATGGCAACTTGACCTGTTCTGTGACTGAAGATGAGATTTTTGAGGCTCTGCAGGACATGGAACCTTCTAAAGCACCTGGATTTGATGGAATGACCACTCTCTTTTTCCAATCCTGTTGGCCTACTATCAAGTATCATTTCTGTCAAGCCATTTTGAACTTTTTTGATTCTGGGAAAATGCCAAAAGGCATTAACCACACTGTCATTACTCTCATCCCCAAGAAACCCAATCCCACTTTGGTGTCTGAGTTTAGACCTATAGCCCTCTGTAATGTCATTTACAAAGTCATTTCTAAAGTCATTGCTAATAGGCTTAAACAGGTCCTTAGTCCTTGCATCACTGAATCCCAGGCTGCATTTGTACCTGGAAGACAAATATTAGATAATGCTATCCTAGCCAATGAATGCCTGCATTTCATCAATAGCAAAAGAAAAGGGCACAATTGTCTTATGGCTGTCAAATTAGACATGGCCAAAGCCTATGATAGGATTGAATGGAGTTTCTTGCTCAAAGTGTGTAGACAGATGGGTTTTGCTGATAGATTTATCTCTTGGTTACTTGCCTGCTTAAATACAGTTTCTTATTCTTTCAATGTCAATGGCCAGAATCTTGGATTTGTGAAACCTTCTAGAGGAATCAGGCAAGGAGATCCTATTTCCCCTTATTTGTTCATCATATTATCTGAAGCCTTATCAAATTTGATCAACCAAGCTTGTGCCAGATCTTTGTACTCTGGGATTAAAATTAGTAGATTCTCCCCTCCTATTTCTCATCTCCTCTTTGCTGATGACACTATCTTATTCTGTAAGGCTGATGAATATCATGCTCACATCATTCTGAATATTCTTAACTGTTATGGTGCTGATTCTGGGCAGTGTATTAATTTGCATAAATCCTCTGTGTTGTTTTCTGTGAACACCCCTAATAGTTCCAAAGTGAGAATCTGCAATTTGTTGAATGGTATCCTTTGTGTTAGATCTACCAAATACTTAGGGCTTCCTCTAGGTATTGGTAGGTCTAAGAGAGCCACTTTTAAATTTGTGCTTGAGAGTGTTATTAGTAGATTATCTTGCTGGAAAAACAAACTTCTCAGTGAAGCAGGGAGAGAGGTGCTTATTAAATCTGTTATTGAAGCCCTCCCAACTTATGTGATGTCTTGTTTTCAGCTCCCTATTAGTATTTGCCAAGATATCAGTAGGGCTGTGGCTAAATTTTGGTGGGGTTCTAATGATCAGGGGGGAAACAAAACTCATTGGGTTAACTGGGATTTTCTGTCTAAGCCTAAGGAGTGGGGTGGGTTGGGATTCAGAAATTTGAAGCTTTTCAATGTTGCTCTTCTGGTTAAACAATTGTGGAGAGTCCTGACTCATCCCAATTTATTAATCAGTCGAGTTTTAAGAGGGAAGTATTTTTATAGATCTAGTTTATTGGATGTTAAGCCTAAAAATGGGGATTCTTGGTTATGGAAGAGTTGGGTGGGGGTGTTGAATTATCTGAAAATGGGTACTAGGTTTCAAATTGGGGATGGTAGTACTGTTTCCATCTGGGATCACCCTTGGCTCCCTAGAGATTTAAACCCTATTCCCAATTGTTCTTTTTCAGATGATAGGCTTCACTTCAGTAAGGTGAGTGATCTTGTGATCCAGGATTCAGGAGGGTGGGATAGAGAGCTGATTAGGCAAATGTTCAGGCCTGATGAAGCTAGTCTGATTCTTAAAATTCCTATTTCCCTTATGGGTAGAAAAGATAAGCTGGTTTGGAGACCGGGTAGATTTGGGATTTTTAGTGTCAGGTCTGCTTATGAAGCCTTTGTGACTAAAATGTGGCAGGATAAAGGAGTTGCTAGTTGTAGCAATGGGTCTAACATTGAAAAACTGGTATGGAAAGTTACTTGGAAACTTCCAATCAAAAATAAAGTTAAGTTTTTTCTCTGGAGATGCTGGTTTAGGTATTTGCATACCAATGACCAACTTTTCAAGAGGAGAATCCTGCAGGATACTACCTGTTCTATCTGTGGTGTGGAAGGAGAAAACTTGGATCATATTTTTTTTCACTGTCCAAGAGCAAAACTGGTGTGGCAACTAAGTGGCTTGGACTGGGAGTGCTTCAACATGCCACAAACCCTTTTCACTGACTGGTGGGGAGATATTTGTTCTGCCACTCAAAGAAGATGCATCATTGACAGAGCCAGCCTATCTTCTTACATCCTTTGGTGGCTCTGGAAGACAAGAAACGTTTGGATCTTTCAAAACAAGAGAATCACAGAGAGACAGATTGCAGAGGGGGCAAGACAAGAGTGGCTTGAATTTGCAAATATTCAGAAAAAATGCCCTAAAATTGTTAGACCATCTTCACTGTCTTCATGTGATCCAGAAGAAGGCTTTTCCCTGGAGGTAGGACATTGGTATCTGAACGTCAGTGCCTCATCTTGTTCTGGTGAACAACTGAAGATGGTGTGCTGGGCAGAAAATGCAGAAGAGGAGAATCAAGAGTGGACTGAATTGATTTGGTATGATGGCTGCAAGGAAGGCATGGAAATGATGGCTATTAGATGGGCTATGAGGAAAGCCATCCAGTTGGGCTGGAATCATTGCAGATGCAACATTTCAAATAAAGTGTTATTTTCCAAGCTTAACAAGCAGCTGAAACATTTTCATTCTTGCTGCAGCATAATTGCAGAGGACATATTTGATATTGTCCATCTTTTTTCTTCTTTTAATTTTCTGCTTAAGTGATATGGTATTAGTTTTAGTATTGTTGTTGTGTTGTAATGAAGGGGTGCAGTTGGACACCCCTGTATATGTATTGCTAGCAGTTGTTAGCCCTGATTGTAAGACATTTCTCATTTGAGTTTTATGATAATTTTGTTGTCGTTGGAAAAAAAAAAATACTCTACCCTTAATCCCAATCTCCCGATAAATCCGTTATTATTACCTTCTGCTGAAAGCGAAAAATAAAAGAAACAACAGAAAAAAAAAAGGAAAAATCTACTCGCACACAGTTCCTGAATTTCAAACATGGAGAATCCATTTTTCGCAGACGGCCGCTGGTACCAGCAACCCTATCGCCGCTATCCATTCTCCCCTTCCCCGTCGTTTGCCGGCGTGCCTGCTCACCAATTTGATCCTTTGGAAACCCAAGACGCCGGCCGACGGGCCCAACGCCAGTCGGAGGAAGCGAAGGTCGTTCGGATTCCGGTTCGCTTCGTCGCATCGGAACAGGTGGACCGCTCAGTGTTCGCCGTGAAGATACAGAAGGTTTTCAGGGGCTTTCTGATTCGGAAATGCCTCAAGAAGATCAAGGACATCAAGCGTGAGGTAGATGAGATCGAGTGGAGGCTGTCGTGGGTGGAAGTCGTGGATTTGGTCCGGAGGGACGAGAAGGAGCGACTGAGGATGACCGAGAGCCTGATGTCTTTGCTGTTAAAGCTCGACTCAATTTGCGGTGTCGATTTTGGGGTCAGGGGTTGCAGGAAGGCTGTGATTCGCAAGGCTATAGCGTTGCAGGAGAGGATTGATGCTATCGTTGCCATTGATCGAGAAGCTGAAAGCGATGGGGTCAATTCTGAGGAGATCATTGATACTGTTCTTCTGAAGCCAAAAGATACTTTGGAAAGTGCAATTTCCGGAAGTCTGGTTAAGTTATGTGAGGAAGTTTGGGGGAACAATGACAGTAAGATGGATATTGTGGGGGATAGTAGTGTTATTGATGTTGGGGTGGACCGTGAGAATGTGGTCAGCCAATCGGAGCCTGTCGGGATTGATAGTGAGGACGATGATATTGTTGAGAAATCTGACTTTTTGGTTCAAAATAGGAATTGGAAAGATGAGTACAGAGGGGATGATGGCAATAAAAGTGATCGGGAGTTGCTGGAGCGTATGATAGAGGACAACGAGAAGATGATGAGTATGATGAAACAGTTGTTTGAGAGGAATGAAATGCAGAAGAGATTGATTTACACCCTGACTAACAGAGTAGAGACGTTGGAAAAAGCCAGGTTGAGGAAGAAGAAGAAGAAGCAGGCATCTGCAAATACTTGCCAAGATGACTGAGAAATGCCTGGGATTCTGTTTTGGCTTGAATTCTCTTTTTGTTTGATTAAGCGCTGACTTTTGACATGCTATGTGAATTATGTGCCTTATGTCTTCCAAGGTTCTTGAGTCATGTTGCAAAATTGACTTCATTGATGGCAAAATGGAACTTCCCCTTGGTGGTGGTTGTAATAGTTAGCTTGTAGTGAATTCTAAGGAAATGCTAGTTGTTTATGATGTTATTTCATTCTTCTGCCTATTTCCTTTATGTCCTGTTGGTCTATCTTTTACCTATGTATTTCTGAGGCGTATCCTCATACTTTGTCGTGAAAGTGTGTGAAGTGCAAGGACATATATTGCTAACATGCATATGCTATTAGAACCATTGCTAACATTCATAAGCAATAACAGTGGCTACGTGGCCCTGTCTGTGGACAAAACAAACCTGAAGTCGGACAATCTTTTGATAACTGCAGAAAAGTTAATCAAGATCGCAGATTTTGAGCTGGCTCGTATAGATGTGCAGATGGATGGTGTGATTTTGGGGTGGCTCATATCGAGGTGCAGACTGAGGATATGACACCGGAGAAAGACATGTAGCAGGTGGATTGCCCTGTAGATATCAAACTTGCATTCTCTTCTAGTTCGGTCATGTGGTTTTTATTTATCTGTTCTCATGGCTTGGGTCATATTGTGCAATGGATAGTTGTGGGCAGTTGTGTCTCTTCGGCTGATGTACCATGATATCTTAAATAACAGATCATCAAATAGTTTTGTTCACAGCTTCCGAGTTTATTACACTGTTCGAACTGCCGCCTTTAAATTTTTGTAGGTGATATATCATTCATTTGCATGTTTGACTTTATGGTTGTGTTTTAACTTCTCGTCCTCCATTGCAAACCATTGCCCTCCTCATTATGTCCGGCGTCTTCTAGTCTCGAGTGGATGTTAATCGTGCTAGCGGGCATTCTTTGCTTCTGATTCCATTCCTGAAAACCATTCTATCACACATGGCAAATCGAGTTCTTTGAACTCTCGCCCACAGCCTAAGAATGTTGTAGGTTTCGTGTCTGAAATATCCTATACGATTTGATGAAATGTCTGCAACTTCCACTACAAATTCAAGGAGATCGACATTAGTATGTTTCCAGGAGCCGAAGCTGATATCTTCATGTCACATACCGATCTCAATCAATATCGTCGATTTCGACGTTGTCGCATACTACATGTGAGTTGTTTTTTTGTTTCAATTTTTTTTTTTTTTTTTTTTTTTTTTTTTAAATAGATCTAAAGTCGTTCGATTTGTAATTTTTAACGCTTACTCGACACTGATAAAAAAACAAAAAGAAAAAAATTGAGCGNTTTGTCTTGATATGAACTCTGTGCTTTGTGGTTTGATTTTTATAACACATAATTACAATCAACTAACTAATCGGAATGTTACAACACAACACAAAAAAACTAAAAGACTCACACAGGTGAAAAAATACACGCTCCTAAAAGGGAGAAAACAAAACACAGAAGCAAAAACACAAACTCAACAAAACACAACAAACACACAATCACAAAACCTAAAAAGATAAAACAAACAACCAAACATAACTACTAAAAAGCCCTTCTCTACTGTCAACAAATTGTTCCGAACGGCCAACACGAGCCAGACACCCGACCAAAGAAACCAAGACGAGTAAGACAATAGTCCGAGAAGAAGAGATCGAAACTCCTTTCTCCCAAAAAAGCTAGCTTACTAAAGTGAGAGGAAGGGGATGCCCCAGTGCTTGTCCGCCTCGAATGGAAACGAAGCATGTGACTGAAGAGGAGGCGACGACAAATTTTGGGACGAGACGAGGGATTGGAAGAAAGAAAGAGAGTTTTTGGGTTCTAAGTTGAAATAGAAGAAATTGGCAAACTCTAATGGCATGATGGGTAGGAAAGAATGACATGGAATGTAATGATCATTCCTTACTCATTCCTTATCCCATGATTGATATATTTTTTAAGAAGGAATGACCATTCCAATGCGAATGGCAAAATCCCATCTCCATGAGAATAGCCATTCCATAGTAAATGGAAGGTTCTCTCATTCCCATTTGTGTAGGAATCAATTTTTCAAAAAATAAAATTAACAAATAATAATAAAAAATAAATATATAATATATATTATAAATCATTATTAAAATATATTAAATAAAATTATTTTAAAAATAAAATTCAAATAAAAAAATAAAATATAAATTATTAAAAATATATTATTTTTTATTCTTAAAAATTATTAAAAATATATTATTATTTAACTTATAAAAATATATTACTTTTAAGAATATATTATTTTACATAATATAAAAATATATTATTATTTTTATATATTATTAAAAGTATATTATTTTTTATATTATTAAACAATATATTATTGTATTTTTATATATTATTAAAAATATATTATTTTACTTTTATATATTATTGAGAAATCATTTATATATAATTTATTAAAAGTATATTATTTTTTAAAAAGGCTTTTATTTATTTTTTATAATAAAAAATAATAATGTTATTCCATTCCAGTCATATTCCTTCTGCATACCAAACGCATCAATGACAAAACATGTTTCATTCCATTCCCATAATCATTCCATTTTGCAATTCATTCCATTCCTACGGAATTCCATTCCATCATACCAATCATGCCATAAGGAGCGATTTGTATATGCTTAAATCTTAAAATTAACAATTTGTTAATCGTGGCTTGTTTGTAAGTTTATGAAAAAAAAGACAATATTACCAAAATACTTTTTGAAGCCAATTGTTTATCTATATATATATATAATTGTTTATCTATATATAATTGTTGACAAGTTTCAATAAATTTTATTTATCAGCAATTAATAATAATAGTAGTTGGTTTAATAACAATAGGTGTTCATTTTATAAAAATATGTTCATCATTTAATACAAATATGTACTTTCTGATACATGATTTAGTTTGACACGTCCATTTTAGATGGTGTACATTTTTGTAACGTCTTTTTATGTCCTGAAATTTTTATTTTGATATTATATATATTTTGGTATTATATAAATGCATATTTCACCTAATAAATAATAACTACAAATATCTCTATTTTCTATTGTACTCATATAATAATAAAAAATATTATTTCGGATATCACAAAAATACATCAAATATTTTAAACAAAAATAAATCCCATGAAATGGTCGTGCACAATATTTAAAATTTGCAATACTATATGCATAAATATAACTTATAATACTCTATGTTTAAAATTTATCAACATTATCTAACTTATAATTTAATATGATATGTATACAAATAATTTGTAATATTTTATTTATATTTGTGTAAATGCACAGAATGAATACTAGTATAATTTGATAATAAGAAAATAATTAATATGATAAATAAGGAATTTGGTAAAAGTTAGGGGGTAATGTTATTTAACTCTATAGAATTTCATCAATTTCTTAAAAGAAAAAATAAAAATAAAATCTAACGTGCCTCCAAAAGTCGCACAATCAGGCTCTACCTACCAACACCTACAAGTTATTACAACCCGAATGGACCGGACCGACAACAAGAACCAACCCCCAAGTCCCACAACCCTCGTGCGGTTCCACATGTCACCTGCGGGTAATATTTAATTAATATAGTTGAATTGGAGAATGTGTTACATAAAATGTATTATAATATTATAAAAANAAAAGTTACTCTCCAAAAAAAAAAAAAAAAAGAGAAAAAGAAAAAAAGAGAAGAATTCTTATCTTATTCCTCCATTAATTAGTGTTCTTCGTCTGTGCTGTCCACACGTCTGTCCTACTTGCCCAGTACGCCATCGCCCTCCGTCGGCTTCTCCGGTGAGACTACTTTCCATCTCCTCGCATTTTTTCTTCTGCTCTTGTTTTTCCCCCTCCTGATTACCCTTATTCTCTGTTCTTTCGCTGTTCAATTTGTTGTGGTTTTCGTCCTCCGCTGCTGGGGATCCCGTCTCTCGCATTTTTTAATCAATTAAGGTTATGCAAATCTACGGTGAAATTCGGAGATACGTGATAGAATTTTGATTTGCGCCAAAATTCTGTTCAGTTTGCTCGCCCTAAATTATGGATGCGGTTTTGTATCTTTGTTTAGATAACAGGATATTTGTTTCTCCTCGAATTTGAGTGCTTAAACTCGGAATTTCGAGAATTCATTCAAATTTCTGTCAAATTTAGGTATGAAATGATTTAAATGGGTTTCTAGATTTCAATGAGAAAGTGCTGTGTCTGTGTTTGATTAAAAAGTTGCTGATGAACTCAGAGTTGCATGATTGACGATGAACTGCTTGTAAGCATGCAGCTGTGAAAATCACTGATCAGTGGATTCTGTGTAATTGGATATGTTTATTCAGAATTTATATTCTAACACAATCCATACATACCATCACTTTTCGACTTATGATGTTTAATAGAATGGAATCAGCAATTTTCTCTTCCTTCATGCATGTCTTTTTTGTTTATTTTAATTTTTATGGTACGGGGTAACAATTGCTAGATCTCATTTGGCTGACATTTGACTGGAAAGCTTTTGAAAGGCTCGTTATTATTTTTTTGTCTAACTACCGACGTTTATAAAATGCTTAGCAATAAAAGATTGTCATGTTCACGCCACTGAATCAAAAAAAGAAGAAACAAAATGGCTGAGAATTGCTAGATCTCGTAGTTTGGCCTTTTTTCCTTTCAGTGCACTAATTCATGTAATACTTTCTCCTGTTGCAGATAAATAGCTGCACCGGTAAGGAAAAATGGATCTCCTGTGCAAGCCACCGAATAAGGGGACTTCTGATTGCTCCTTCAGCGAGCTGGATATGAACAAATGTCCATTTTTGAGGAACATACACAAACCGACCAATTTTTCTTTTGGTTCTTTGAAGTTCTCCAGCGTTAACGTGAGTTGTTATGAGTACGATTATTTTAATTTCATTTTTCCTATATCTATTGCTGCAAGTCCTTACCTGTTTTCCATTATGTGTTCTCATTTATGTTCTCTTGTCTTTGTTAAAATTTCACAATGCATAACTGAATAGTTCTCTTCTCGTTTCTTCTATATTTTCAGCATAAGGAAGCCAATGGTCCGATTTTTGAGGATGGTCCAAACTTCGAGTCAGCCTTTAAACTCTTTCACGGGAAAGACGGGGTTGTCCCTCTCACTGGGAGCTCTCAAATCCATCTTGACAAATATGAAACTGAGGCTGTTCCAAAATTCAACCCTTTGGTATCAACCGCTGCCTCTATCAGTATGTCATCATTTGGACCTGGAGGCCCTTTCGGTTTCAATTCTTTCTTCAGAAAGATCCCAAAAAATAAGACTAATAAGTCATCCAGAAAGAAAGAGCATTCCCTTAAGGTTCGCCATTGACCTTATATAGCCTACATCATCTATCACGAAGCAACTTGTATATGATCACTTTTTTTTTTTTNAGACTCGTCAAAACACGAGGCGCTAGGGAATGAATGGCTCGAGAGAGGCAACTGCCCTATCGCGAAATCCTACCGTGCAGTCAGCCACGTCCTCCCGCTAGTTGCTGCCTCCCTCCGTCCGCCACCTGGACTCAAGCTCAAGTGCCCGCCAGCTGTCGTGGCTGCACGGGCAGCCCTTGCCCGAACTGCCTTCGTCAAAAGCGTTCGTCCGCAGCCGCTGCCCGCCAAAATATTCGCGATCGGTGCACTTGGGATTGCTGCTAATATCCCGCTGGGTGTATGGAGAGAGCACACGACAAAGTTTTCCTTGTCTTGGTTTGCAGCTGTGCATGCGGCAGTCCCATTCATAGCCATGCTTAGGAAATCGGTAGTCATGCCCAAGACAGCCATGGCTCTCACCATCATGGGCTCTGTCATTGGGCAGCTGATTGGATCAAGGGCTGAGCGGCTCCGGATGAGGGCTGAGGCCCAGAGAGTGGGGGAGATGGGCTGCAGCAGTCATTGTGGGGTCGAGAAGGGCCCGGCCCAGTCTTCGTCTGCTGCTGGGGTGTGTGTCTGAAGCTGATAATGTGTTGTTGTCGTGTGGTTTGGATATTGTAGAGTAATTGAAGTTGGTATTGGCATTGGGGTGATCGGAATACACCGCGTGGTTTTATTATTATTGTTTATTGTTGTATTATTGCTACACAAATGCTAATGTCTATATATGCAATTTTTCTTTTGAACAGTAAGTTTACGATGTTTGAGGCGAACTAGTAAATTTTGCCAGTACAAATGAAAACTTTATAACGCAAGCAAAGCGATTCAACAGCTAGTAAGGGGTAATTGGATATGAATTCAACTAGTAAAAAACTAATTTTTTTTTTAATTATAGTTAAGTTTGAAAAAAAGTAGTATGGTTAGTTGTTAGTGGATATATTAAAATAATATTTAAATTAAAATAATTAAAGTTGATTTAATGTAAAAGTAAGAGAAAATGATTGGAAGTGATAGTTAGTTAAAATTATGTGAGTGGGTGAATAGTGAATTAAAATTGATGTAATGTATAAGAATGATTGGTTGATATTATTTAATTATATTGATAATATTGGAGATAATGAGTTGAGTTAAAGTTGAGTTAAATTTGAGTTTTGAGTGGGATATTTACTATACAAATTATATACAATCATGCCCTAAATGTCGGTAAGCATTTTTTTATGAGAACCATTAGCCATAGCCAACTCACTAGAGAAAAGCAGATAATTAATCAGAGTTCAGTTATTACACTGAGTTGAGGTGAGTTTGCTTGCAAATAGCTCGTTTAATTAATTTTATTTTATTTTATTTTTTAAATGGAACAACCAAACTAAATTTGTTAGCGAACAAATAGTTTGTTTGTGCAAACTTATTAAGTGTTACATTTATTAGACGAGTCGAATGAAGTCGAATTTAACTAAGCTTAGCTCAAGTCGAACCTTCTGTATTTTATTAACGAAGCCGAGACGCTTTTATTAAATGAGCACATGCTCGCTCGTGTTGGCTCGGCTCTAATAACATCCAATATGCAAACTTATTACTTAGTAGCCAAAAGAAAGAAAAAATGGTTTAAAGAATCGTTCGTCACTACATTAGCTTGAATTGTTCCCGAAGTAGATTGGACTTACGAGTATCTTCAATAATTCATCAACTGTTTTATTTTGTTGCCACTTGGCCAATTTTTCAGAAAATGTCTAGAAATCTTTCTAATTATAGAGCTATCTCCAAATAACTTTTATTATATATTATATTATTTATTAATTAATTTTTTGGTAATTAATTACGATCTTACACATGTCAAACTATATAACTATTAACATTAGTTATTGGAGACAATAATTTTCTTTTTCTTTTTTAATCTAATTTATACATTTCAATTGAAATGAACAATATTTCTGATCTAACGTTGTGGACCAAACCCAATTCGCTCCGAAATGTGAAACGGCCCAAAGGGCAGCCACCCCAACCACCAAAACCCCTCTTCAACTTCCCAGTTCTTGCACAGCTTAAACCCACCTCACTGGTAAAATCTCCAAGGTTCGATTTTTGTTTCACCATTTGCATAAGCACCAGTAAAACCTCGAATTGTCGATAAAAACTGAATTTTGTGCAGAGCGACAAATGGGTTGGAAGGCAGCACAAAAACTAATCCATCACTGGAAGATCCTTAGAGGCGATAATGTAAGGAAACGTGGGGATTGTGCGCTTTCGTTTGAACTTTTGCAGCCTCTTTTTTAACCTACGGAAAGCTGATCGATTTTTGTTATTTATTTACTCATGGCAGGTTATGATAATGAGGGGCAAAGATAAAGGCGAGACTGGTTCCATCAAGCGAGTAATTCGTTCCCAAAATCGTGTTATCGTCGAAGGAATGAACTTGGTGAGCTTTTGGATATTTGGTTTCTAAGCTCGATGAAATTTACAATCGAAGGATCTTTTTTTTTCAAGTGCATGTTTCTGCCAATAACTTGAGCCCTTGCTTTGGTGATAGATATTGTCTGTATTTGTTGTTTCTCCTTTTATGTTTTTCAAGCACTGTTCATTTTCAAATTTAAATCTCTCGGCAGGTGAAGAAGCACATCAAGCAAGGGCAAGGTCATGAAGGTGGGATTTTTTCTGTTGAAGCTCCGCTTCATGTATCAAATGTTCAGGTTATAGATCCAATCACAGGGTGAGACGCAAATTCCTATTCTCTTTGCCACTTTGAATTTTCTTAGAAATGGTGGCTCACATTTGCCCATTTTAGGAAGCCCTGCAAGGTTGGAATCAAATACTTGGAGGACGGTAGCAAAGTACGAGTATCCAGAGGTATTGGGGCCTCAGGATCGATAATTCCTCGTCCAGAGATATTGAAGATAAGGGGCACTCCTCGACCAACCATTGGTGAGTTTCACATTCTTGCATTTTCACCAACTGTTCGTATGCTTCAGAGTCACTTTTGGCTAACTAGAGGTTGGGACTGCACGAAATAGCTAGTGACTTGAAAAATATCGTCGGAATTTTGTGTGCAACTAAAGTTGTGAAACGATGATTGCATTCCCTATGAACGGTACATTATCTTGTGATCGTGCCCAAAGACGTGTCTTTGGCAGTGGTATCCTATGATTGTGCCTGAAATACAGTACTTCAGCATTTTTCATAGTGCATGGAATTCCGCAATGCAACAAATACTTAAAGGCATGAAATTTGGACCGCTAATTTTGGATTGAAGTTATGTGTAGGGTTACTCTCTCTCTCTCTCTCTCTCTCTGATTTTTCTTTTCCTCAGCCTTGTCCCTCCATAAGATACGGAGGAGAAATTGACTTTTATCAACTCTATTTTAGATGGATTTAATTTATCTGGATACACAGTTCCGGTTCTGTTCTTTGCAGATTTACTAATTTCTTAAGCTAAAAGCCATGTTGAAGTCAGATCCATAAGAGAAAACGTCAACACGGGGTGCTATCACGAAATCTAGTTTCTCTTTTTGGGGTTCAATGAGAGTAGACTCTACTTTGACATATATCAAACAAAGCAAACTTTGACATATATCAAACAAAGCAAACTTTGACATATATCAAACAAAGCAAGTATAGCTTGGAAGGTTATTTGGTAAAGACAGGCAGTAATTGAGAAAATTGCATATTTAAAAAACTAAAAAATATAAGGGAAACAGTTTGTTTCTTGTGACCACATTGGAATGAGTAATTGGCATTTCTTAGCGAGTTTTTCACTTTTAAATTTTGGTCCTTAAGCACCTGGGCTAATAATGCTAGGCTTATGTGTATTTAACTGAGATTTATTTCTGTGATGCAACTCTATGTGCTCAGTCTCGTTTCTTGTTATGCAGTTGGCCCGAAAGACACTCCAATGGAACTGGTCATGGAGAAGACTTATGATGCTAAAACTGGCAGGGGAATGCCTGATCTTTAATCGTCATATGGAAGTTCTAGTTGTTGTAGGTTAACAATTTCCCTTTATAGCAGTTCCTATAGCTGTTGTGTCTTGGAGCACTTCTCTTGTGCATTGCCTTTCTACTTGGATTACTGGAAGAGTGATTTTCTATCCGAGTTTATGAAATATTTAATTTCCAACTCCAATTAACACTTTCGAAGTGGCTTGAAATGAGCAAAAAAAAAGTGAAATTGTGATAGAAAAGATGTACAATTTGTTTGGTACGTTAATTTTATTCAGCTGCTGTGGTATCAAGTTGTCTTCTTTCTCAATCCCTATTTTTGGCTTTCTTTAGAGCTTTGTATTTTTTTTTTTTTTTTCTTTTTAAAAAGAAAATCTCCACAATTAGTTGTCTCGAAAGAGCTATTTGCCCGTTGGCAAATAGTTGAAAGTTTCATTGGGTTGACCAGTGTATTCCATCACGGATTCATAACACAAAAGCACAAATTACAGAATTACACAAACTTGCAGGTCATCAATACGATGATGATGGTTGTGCAAGCCATTCTACGACGACCTTTAAAATTAACGCATGATATCTGTATTATCGTATCTACTAGTCTCGCGCCGAATGCTACACAAAAGGTGCTCACGTATTGAAGCTGAAAAAATCCCTTCCAGGCGTTATATCACTAGAAATTAAATCTACAGTCCAATTAAGATAAGCCAAGTCATAATCACAGGTGATAGCAGCCTAGCACTCAAGGCATATGCAAGTCACTGGGATAGATTATATGATGATATATCTAAACAATAGTACATTCCAGAAAAAACACACAGCAAAATAATTTACATCAGCAAAAGTTTCCAGAAAAACATAGCAAAAATATTTTACATCAGCAAAAATTATAACTTATAAAACATCGTTTACTCCCAATGCTCGCAATTCCACTCCCATTTCCACCCCTCCCCCACACNAAAAAAAAAAAAAACCATAACTAATTTACATTGTACAGCATTAAAACCCACCCACATGTTGCTTAGACACCATGCCATATCTCCCAGGCCCTGCATTACTGCCACCATATGCCGACTCACCAGTATTGCCCATCCCTGGACAATCCCTTGCCCAATGCCCCACCTTATGGCATTTATAACATTCACCAGAGGCCCCTATTGCCCCAGGGTTCATATTACTACCACCATATCCCGACTGCCCACTATTGCCCGTCCCAGGACAATCTCTCGCCCAATGCCCCATCTTATGGCATTTGTAACATTCACCCGAACCACTCACCAAACTCGGGCAATTACCAGTAATATGCCCTGTACCACCACACTTGTTACAACTCATATACCCACCACCATATTCACTATCATTATTATTATTATTATTATTAGTGGTACTCGTGTTATTATTGCCATGCGGACTCAGCTGACTCGCACCTACATTGCTATTGAACCCTCCACTATGACTCCTACCAGTTGCTCCAGGTGTCGTGATAACACTCGATCCATCCTCTTTCATATTAGCAATCGAGTCGAGAAGATACCTGGTTTCGGTTTCGAAGTTAACCTTCTCGGCTTTGACCACCGTTGACTTCACCCGCTGCTCGTCGCTGAAAAACTCTTCCTTCACCTTCAATTTAAACAAAAACTTGTTGAAGAGCGCATTTCGCATCACCTCGATAAACTTCTCCTCATCCTGTTCTTCATACTTAATGTAGTACAGATCCTTTGCAGATATACCCATTATATCCTTCCCAGTCTCCTGAAAGGCAGTAGCCCAGGTCAAGCCAGTGTGATCCTGGATTTGCATCTGGAGGATGTATCTATAGTCGCACTCCTCGACCGATTTTTCACACCTTTCGCATCTCCATTTCCCGTCCCCATTATTCGTGACCTTTTTACTGCATTGCCTATCGGCAATCATGAGGGGGCATGCAGTGTAGCAAAAGTTATCGGCTTTGATATATGTTAGGGTGGCAGAGACTATGATCCAATCAGGCTTCTCTGATGTACCCAGCTTTTCATCTTTAATTTGAGATATTGTTTTGCGAGTGTCTGTCCTGACCATACTAGATTCCCCGGATATGGATATCGAAGGAGTGCCCTTTCCCTCATTGTTGAACCATGCTTTGAGTTTGTGAGCCTCAGGAAAATCAGGCTCTATGAACAACTGGCTTGTGGATATGGTCCCCACCGATTTACCATTGAAATCATTAACTCGGCTGGCTTTCACAGCCAGAACAGGAAAGACTCCAGAATCACACATTTCCTGAAGTGTTCGACCCTCAGCATTGCAAAAATTTCCCCACAAAGTCAACTCAACACTTCTTCCGGACATGTCCTTCAGCTGGAGCGTTCTCTTTACAGTTTCGGTGCCATTTTTCCTCATTATTGAGCTAGAAGGGCCGACTGACGAAACAATTCCAATCACGTCAACTACACTGGTATTGTCTAAGACTTCAATGTCACTTATAGGCCGGAAATGAAACTGCTGCTGTGGGATGGAATTATCATCATCAAAGCACGCCTGCACGGTGGAAAAATTGTCCAGCGTAATCTCATGGTCATTACGTAGATGATTATAAGCCTTCTGAGCTGGTTTCAGTGTCCCTCTCGAAACCATATAAACTCGACCAGGCTCGATTTGACCATAAAATTGATCCGCAACAGCATTGAAACAAGTCGCCCTTATTTCTCCACCATCAGAATCAAGAAGATCAAAGGAGAACACTTTGCCATCACCTTTAGCATTGTTGTAGAGCCTGAGGTCACTTTTTGCTGTTACTCTCGCCTTAATTGTCCACCTTCCCTGATAAGGATTCAGGGCAGCAATAGGTATGATCCTTGCAGGAGCTTCATTTTTAGCAACTGGGCCTCTGTTGGAATACATTGGTGGTGGCTGCTGATATGAGTGAGGAGTGCGGCCAAAATTACTCGCCGCAGGTCGTGACATGCCAGAAACGGCTTCTGTTCTGGAATTTCCCGAAAAAGAACCACCAGAGTAAGAATATGGTCCTGAATTTCGGTCCGAAAGCGGGACATTAACTCCACCACCCGTAGTAGACCTGGGAACTGAACTACTCATGGCTGTAACAGCGCTATACGGAGGAGAATTGCCACCAGAAGGCTGATTCATTGTTGGACGTAGTGTGGGTGGTCTTACGGCCGAAGGGGCACTGCCATCTGTTGGATATTGCACTGGATCCCCAATGAGATCACATTTCTCAACAATCAGTTCTAGATCAACCACGATGATAATCCTGCACAAAGCCCATGCAAAAACATTAGACCTAAACACACTTATGGAACAATATGGCGAAAGGGAGTCCAGTATGTTGGGTTCAATAATTACACACCACAGTTATACCCCCAAAGGAAAATGCATCTAAGTAGAAAGACAAAGAGGACAGCTAAGGCAACTAAGATGCACAGACTCATCCCATAGTAGTGAACAAATCAACTGATTGGAATTCAAACATGTACTCTATATAGTATAAAAGAGACAAAAGAGTCCATGTAGAACACCTGACAATGCAGAATATGACAGAAGTAAATGTTGCAAACTGTATAGTATTGTATTAAAACCCATAACAACCCCATAACTTAAGTAAATGTTCCAAACTGTGCCGAAAGCTGGAAAATTTAAAAACCCTAATAACACCAAGTACAAATATTAAATCACTCGTGCCAATGTGCCATTTGGGCTTACCCTACCCCGTAAGGTTGCTCATACAGTCAAACCATGCAGTAAAGGTTTGGCCTTGGCACATAAACCAAGCCAACACCATATCCAGCCATTCAAAACTCAACTTTACACCATCACATGTGCCCGAATTACAGATTCTAATACTTGAAAAGAGCAGAAAACAAAAGCGACACTGCCTATAGAACTCACATTGGATTAAACCAAGACTAAAAGCTCCAATTACTCCAAATAAACCGCTTAACAACTATTTTTCTTCTCTTTCGCACCCACCCAAGGCAAATGTAAAAAGATTACAAATTATTAAACACACCCACCTTTTATTCTGGATAACGTTACAGACGTACTGCATCAACTGGATGATGGAGCCTGTCTGCAACCTCTGAGACCGCACCAGGTCATTGCATTGGGTGCCGAGCATGCTCTGCTGAGAAAAAGTGCCATCGGAGAGAACAACCCGATACCTTTCAACAGCGTTGTTGATCTGATTCTGAGTGTTGATCAACCGTACGCTGGTGACTTGCACCACCGGCTTGAAGTTCGCCTCCTGAGCCTGGCCGTTTGAGAGCATCGGAATCGCCCCTTCCGTTAGGTTTACGGGAGGCATGTTCGAGGTGTCTGAAGGTTCCATTTTTATCAGTGGAAGAGAAAAGATGGGGGATGGATGAAAGAGGGCTGTTTGAAACCCTAGGTTTAGGAAAGTGAAACGGGGAAGAGTGAGCGCCAAATTAGAGGAAATTTATAATCGATTTTTATCGTGCAGGGGAACTTTGTTTGTGCGGATTGTGTATGTAGACCGAGCCAATCACGGAGCTCTGACGTGGAATGGGAGACACAAATTCAATATTTTTAAAAAAGTAATTACACCTCCCAAAACTAATTAGCATAATCCTAATTGAAATGATCTATTCTTTTATGCTCCTTCTCTAATTTTTTTTCCCTCTTTTTCATGCTAGACATTATCTATTCTTAATATTATTTCTTTTATTTTTTTTTCTTTTCAATCAATTATTATTTTACACAATTTCATACTCCCAATTCATTAGAAATGAAAGCTTATTATTATTATTATTATTATTATTATTATTATTATTATTATTGTGCGAGAGAATGTGATATTCTATAATTCCAACAAAACAAAGAAAGAAATAAAAATAACCTAACAAATTTCATCAACAAAAGCTAACAACATTCCACATTTGTACTCTCGTGTTGCAGTTTCACTCACAAAGCCTACCAACTCATATCTGTTTTCACCATCTCTTACTTCATCAGCAACATCTCCAACTCAATATTCATCACCTTCAAAACCCACCAAATTGTTGCTTTGGCGGCATGCCGTATCTCACGGGTCCCACATTACTGACCCCATAAGCCGCACGCGAACCCAAGCTCATCTCATTGTACCCATAGTTCAGCCCTGTACCACTCACAACCCTTGGACAGTCTCTAAGATTATGGCCCGTGCCACCACAGCTACTGCAGCTCATATGCACACCAGTCGAACCAGACGAAATAAATCTCGACCCACCATACTCATTGTTACTATTACTATAGCCACATTGTCTAGCCACATTATTGCTATTATAAATTCCGCTGTGAATCATACCAGATGCTGCTGATTTTGTGACAGCACTCTCAGTCTTAGGCAGCACAGAAACCGACCCTTGCCTTTTGAAGTCAGCTATTAAGTCCAGAAGATACCTCGTCTCTGTTGAGAAATTCACCCTCTCGGCTTTGACCACCGTTGACTTTACACGCTGCTCGTCGCTGAAACTTTCTTCCTTGACCTTCAATTTGAACAGGAATTTACTGAAAAGAACCCCATGTAGCAGTTCGGGAAATTTCTCGTCGTCTTGATGATCGTACCTCAAGTAATACAAATCTTTAGCCGATATACCCATTATATCCTCCCCACTCTCTTGGAAAGCAGTCACCCACGTCGAGCCCGTGTGATCCTGGATTTGCATTTGGAGGATGTATCTATAGTCGCACTCGTCCACTGACTGGTCGCATCTTTCGCACCTCCATCTCCCGTCTCCAGTTTCCGTAACCTTTTTGCTACACTGTCGATCGCCAATAGTGATTGGACATGCAGGATAGCAAAAATTATCCACTTTTACGAATGCAAGAGTGGCAGAGACCGTGATCCAGTCAGGCTTTTCGGCCGTGCCCAGTTTTTCATCTTTGATCTGAGATATAGTTTTGCGCACATCTGGACGGATCGCGTTTCTATCCCTGGATATAGATACAGCTGGCATGCTCTTCCCCTCGCTATTGAACCATGCCTTAAGCTTCAGTGCCTGAGGTATCTCAGGCTCTATGAACAGCTGGCTAGTGGATATGGTCCCCATTGATTTCCCACTGAAATCATTAACACGGCAGGATTTTGCAGCCAGAACAGGAAAGACTCCAGCATCTGACATGGTCTGAAGTGTTTGGCCTTCAGCATCACAAAAGTTTCCCCACAGAGTCAACTCGACAGTCCTTCCAGACATGTCCTTCAGCTGGAGGGTTCTCTTTTGAGTTTCAGTTCCATTTTTTCTCATAATCGAGCTTGTTGGACTGATTGAAGATACAATAGCAATCACATCAACAATGCTATTGCTATCCAAGCCTTCAATGTCAATGATTGGGCGAAAATGAAATTGGTGCCTTGGGATGGATTTATCATCATCAAAGCATGGCTGCACAGTCGAGGTACTGTCGAGCATAATTTCGTGGTCATTATGTAGGTGATTGAAAGCCTTCTGAGAATGTTTCAGTGTGCCTCTTGAGATCATGTAAACTCTGCCAGGTTCAATTTGATCGTAAAATTGATCGGCTACGGAATTGAAGCAAGTTACTTTTATTTCTCCTCCATCGGAATCAAGAAGATCAAAAGAGAAAACTTTGCCATCACCTCTAGGATTATTATAGTGCCTGAACTCACCCTTTGATGTCACTCTGGCCTTAATTGTCCACCTCCCTTGATAAATATTCAGTGCTGCAATAGGTATGATTCGTGCAGGAGCTTCATTTTTGGCCATCAGCCCTGTGTTTGCATACATCTGTGGTGGCTGCTGATACAATGAGTGAGGTGGTCGGCTGTAATTACTCACAGGATTTTGTGCAGCTCCAGAACCAGCTGCTCGTTTGTGATAAGCAGGTTGAACATTTGGAGAGTCATATTTTCCAGAGTCCAAATTGATGGAAAATGAGCTGGCATAAGAATGTGATCCGGCATTTGAATTTCCCCCCATATTCAGAGCTTGGAGTACCCCACCTACGTTCGGCCTAGCGGCTGAACTACGCATGGCTTTACCAGCACTATACGAAGAAGGGGAATTACCAGCAGCTGAATGATTCATGGGTTGAACCGAGGGTGAATGAAATATCCCTAAAGAGACATTTACATCAGTCTCGGTTAAGTACTGCTTTGATTGAGCAGCAAGATATTTTCTTCAACAAGCATATCTAAATTATGATAATGGTATCAGCTTAAGAACAAATTGCTTCTGGTACTTGAGGAAATAGGTTAATCATTAACATTTAAACATCAGTCGCAATTATCTAATAAGGGTAAGATACTGGCACAGGAAAATATAGACAGGCCACTAACACATTCATATTCACTCAAAGATAGCAATCACACCAATGGATAATATCTCAAAAGTTCACCACAACTATTTACCATTTCAGATTCTCTGTATTTCTAGCCGTCAGAAAATTCATGAACACCTCCGAGCTTTTGAACATCAATTTTGAATCATATCAAATTCAGATCGGAACTCTAATTACAGAAAATCAATTGACAACCGTCCAGTTGCCAACACACTCGGCGGAATTGCACGAAAACTTACCTTTGGTTCTATGTAGGATTACGGAGGGACTGTATCAACCGGAGAACAGAGTCCGATCGCCAGATGTTATGGTGATTCTGAATGTTGAGCAGACGCTCCTCCGAGACTTGAAGCGGCGTTTTCAGTTGGCTGGATTTTGGCTGGGCAACTGCTGGTTTGGGATCGGCGGGAAAAGGGGGAGTTTTTAGAGAGTTTTATTTTTGAAATCCACACCTGAAAAGAGAAGAATGAGCGCCTAAACATAAAATTCTGAACGTCGGTATATCGTATATGCCGTTGGCATCTATTTGTCATCTGGAACTTGAAATGTGTAATGGGTTTGGGCTGGTGTACATACCAAATGGATTAATTGGGCCTACGTTTTTCCAGTAATAGTCCCAAGAAATAGATGAATAGAGAAGGTTTCTTTGTCAAGAACTGTGAAATTAGGAAAATCAAATAATTACATCATTTATCTACAAATTCATTTTTATTTGTATATTTATAAAGTTTTTTCTTTAATTGCCAATATACTAACTTTTACAGTTTATAAAGGGTTGATTTGCTGCTTATTTTTTGTTATTGATATCTACAGTCCATTGTTTTAATTTATATAACTTATTTATGAGTTATGTATATGATTTTATTTTGCATGTCATATTAAAAAAAATATATTAATTAAAAGTATAGTAAAAATATAAAAGAGTCAAGAAAATGTACAATATTTTTTTTTCCGAAACGATAAATAATATTATAAATCAAATGCACAAATGTGCGAATACACAACTTCTAACTGAATGGAACGACGAACAGCTGAAAAAGTGGGAGGATAGGTCAGAAGAATACCTAGAATCCTGACAATAGCAAAGCTAGAAAAACAACACTCGCAACTACACTAAACCAACTACACAAACAAAAACAGAAGCTACTAAAAAAGATCCACCAGGATAATATCCGAGTGTCCGATCCCAACATGATAATAAGTTGACACTAGGGCCTATACAGAAGCCAACCCCAAACCCCAAACCCCGAACCTGACCCGAACCGACCCACCTCCAACCGAAGCAACCACAGACCAGCTCCCCATATCAGCATCTCCCGAACCCGCCTAACACCACTAGCCAGGCTTAGGAGATCCGAAGCCCCCGACATTCCCAACACCAGAGAACCAGAAGGTAGCGAGTTGCTCGATCCCCAACTCCGACTGCCCCATCAAAGACGACGAGGCTTCCAGAGCCCCGCCCCACCCTCGAAGAACCGCACTCTCTCCCACACCACCGAAGGTCATCGGCGACCGAATCCAAATCCCCACCGGAGGTCCTTCCGGAAAGAAAAGCCCATAGAAGAAGACTCAAAATAGATCGTGGAACATACCTTCAGCAATAGAAGACCCAACGGCAGATAGGACACCAATTGTCAACCAAGCGAAGATCCGGCTCACCACCGTCAATCCCGCCGGCAACCGAGGTCTGACCACCAATCCCCGACAACCACAACAACATCGGAGGCATACAACTTCAGGGGTGGGCCGAGCGGTCAGGGCGACCACTGGCTAGAGGTCGCCGTTCGCCGAGGAAGGCTAGATGAAGGAGATTGAAGACGGCGACTTTGAGGATTTGGGGATGAGGGTTTTTTCGCCAGAGAGATTGAAAACTCCTATCAAGAAAATGTACAATTGAGTTACATGAAGTCTTAATTATCATATTGCCCTCATTTTCACTTATTCCTATACTTCTACATTATATTTACTAAATTACTAAAACGCATCCATGTGATGCAACATGCAGGAAGAACAAATCTCACGGTTGGAATCTACTGTATAGATTGCTTGCCAAACAAAACAGTTTGATCAATATTAGCATAATCATGCAGGGTAGGCCATCCGCATCTACCAGCTCAAAATGGACCAAAAGAGGCGCAAAGTCAAGGCCAAGGCCATGCGGCCAAGGGCCAACCACCGGCAAGGTGTCCGGCTACCTGCTGAGAAAGATAACGACCAAGGAAGGTAGAGGCGGACTCGGGGGCAGAAGAGGGAGAAAAGTGAGAAAAATTAAGACTACCACTTATGTGACTTTATAATGTCATAGTTATTTAAAAGTATAATATTAAAATAACTTAATATTTAATGTACTCGATTAATGAAAAATAATAGACCAAAAATTAAATAAACCATACATAAATGATTAGAAATCACGAAACAATATTAACTACGTACTTTACTAGTTATTTTAAAAGGGGCATTAAATTGAAGTAGCTTTGATTAATTACCAGTGTTCTAGAAGACGTTAGGCGCCCACTAGGCGTTCGACCAATGTCTAGTGCGTAGGCGAGGTTCAGAAATTAAGATTAAATACCTTATTTATTTTTTTATTTTCAACTTATAATAAATCAATACACTTAAGTTCAAATAATAATATTAATATATTATAAAAAAATATGATAACAAAATAATGTAATTAATATTTTAAAAAAAACTAAAAAATTATTGTTGAGCCCGTCTAGGAGCGCCTAGGCGCCGCCTGGCAGATTTTTTCAGTCGATTTATGCAAATCGGGGGCGGCCACCTAAGCTGATTTTTAGTACAGTGTTATTACTAGTTGAAAGTGCATTCATCAAATAAAATTGGGTTACAACTTACAAGTAAAAACCAAACAAACGAACAATTAATACCTAGGATGAAAGAAATGAGAAAGAAGAGAAGACATAAAGGCATGATGATAATAATTCCAGAAGGCACATGGCCTCGGCATGAGAGCTGCACCTCCACAAACAGCCATCGTCGGCTGACGATGAGGAGTAGCATAGGATCGATGAGGGTGCCAGGAAAGTGATCTCTCAAGTGGGGTTTGCGGAGTTTGCAATTCCAGTGGCCCAACATCCCGGTAACCGGTTGAGGTCCAAACGAGCAGTTGTCCTCATGGAGAGATCAACCAACATATTTTTGACGTAATATATTGGTGGTTTGAATAACTATACACACACAATACATATTTTTAAACTCATATGATATGATATGAATTTTATTAATGTATTGCATCGATTGTCTATGTTGGAGATAAACTAAAATACATAAAAGAGTGAGATTCACTCAAAACATTTGTGACATCTCGTGAGGATCTTGAAACATGTACGTAATTGTTATATCGAACAAAAAAAAAAAATCTTATATTGTTCTCACTGGGGAACATAGACTTTTATTTATTTAAAAAAAATATTGACATAATCTGTAATCTATCTTATCTATAATCAATCTTCAAATAAAGAGTTTTTTTCTTAAATTTTTTTTGAACTCCCAAAAATATCCTTATTAAGGACGATATTTATTGTTGACACTCGATGTCAACCATAATAAAGGGGGATTCAAAGCGTAATTAAAAGAATTAGGCGTAACAATTTAACCATTTGCGAGAATATCAAACTAATTAATAGCCTAAATATAATGATTCAGCATAAAAATAGGTTAATATACTAGGTAAAAAAGATCACCAAAAAATATGGAGAGATCAACCCAATGACTAATTTAAGAGAATAAGGAAGATGGGTGTGATAATATTGGAAAAAGCTATTTGTACAACTTTTTTGTACAACATTCAATGACACATGATGTGGTATGATGTGGGTGGTTGAGATGCAAATAAATGTATGATTGAGATTTGAGTTAATGATACTTTTAACTAAGTTGTCAATTAATGTTGTGAACTACAATTGTACATATAGCATGTAGATCCTTGGGTTAGAAGGACTGACCATGTAGATCCTTGGGCTTTTCTTTTGCACTTTGGGCCTGAAATGGCATGGACCATGTGGGCTACAGTCTTGTAGATTCAATTGACCGGTTTAGAACATTTATGCACAACCAATGTCATAAATATAAATTTGGCATCAATAATATGGGGTTATAATAGGTTAATTAATATTCTTACATAAAATATATTTAAACATTTTTATTACTTACTTTTCCCAAAAAAAAATAAAAATTATTTATTTAAAGTGTCATTAACATACACTAGCTTCATTCACAATGACATGTGTAAAGCTTTTTTTTTGTTTTAATAATCCATTTTCCGCACTTTATAAATAAAATATAAGGAAAGAAATTAAGAAATGTTTGATACACAACAAATATTTATTAAATATTTAATCAAATATTTAAAGAAATAATTGAGCATAACAACAGTACAACACAACACCCCTCTTCTCTTCCATTTCTTTTTCAATCTCCTATCCTAATACCACCATCGCTGGAGACTGGAGTCGTCACTTATCGTGGATCCTGGTATTGATCCTTCCAGAAGGCGGATGGCCTTGGCCAGGCAGCTGCGCCTCCACAAACCGCCGCTGCCGGCCGACGATAGGATCGATGAGGGCGCCGGGAAAGTGGTCCCTCAGGTGGGGTTAGCGGAGCCGGCAACTCCAGTGGGCCAACATCCCGGTAACCGGTTGAGGCCCAAACGAGCAGCTGTCCTCGTGGATGATGGGGTTATTCTGAGCAAGAGATGGTGAGGGCTTTCTTTCTACTCACTCTGGTTTGGTTAATTGCATTTCTTTCAATTCTTAGTAATGGTAATGATAGTCCCTAATTTTTGTTATTTGGAGCAAAAGGATTTTTGGTTTTGTAGGAAGAGTTAATTGGAGATTGGAATGAATGAATTTTCAATTAGATTGAAGCTGTTGTGGGATCTAGGGATCATCATATCTGTGTTAAATTTTTGAAATCGAGTCTGGAAATTAAGTAGAAAGTTTACTAGTTGAAAGATCAGTCGACAGTCGTGATGATAAAACTCAGTT